AACGGGGAAAATGGCATCAAAGTGGGGTAAAGTGGGAAAAAACGGCATTAAAATGGGAGAAAATGGCGTTAAAATGGGGTTAAATGGTATTAAAATGGGGTAAAACGGCATTAAAATGGGAGAAAATGGTATTAAAATGGGAAAAATGGTATTAAAATGGGGGGAAATGGCATTAAAATGGAAGAAAATGGCATTAAAATGGGGTTAAATGGCATTAAAATGGAAGAAAAAGGGAAAAAATGGCATTAAAATGGGAGAAAATGAGATCAAAATGGTGTGAAATGGGCAGGTATTCCCAGCAGAAGCGCTTCCGCAGCTCGGGGATCTGGGGAAATGGGGGAAAAATGAGAAAAAATGGCATTAAAATGGGGTAGAAAGGGAAAAAATGGCATTAAAATGGGAGAAAATGGCATTAAAATGGGAAAAAACGGTGTTAAAATGGGGTAAAGTGAGGTAAAATGGCATTAAAATGGCGGTATTAAAATGGGAGAAAATGGTATTAAAATGGGGTAAAACGGCATTAAAATGGGAGAAAATGGCGTTAAAATGGGGTTAAATGGTATTAAAATGGGGTAAAACGGCATTAAAATGGGAGAAAATGGTATTAAAATGGGAAAAATGGTATTAAAATGGGGGGAAATGGCATTAAAATGGAAGAAAATGGCATTAAAATGGGGTTAAATGGCATTAAAATGGAAGAAAAAGGGAAAAAATGGCATTAAAATGGGAGAAAATGAGATCAAAATGGTGTGAAATGGGCAGGTATTCCCAGCAGAAGCGCTTCCGCAGCTCGGGGATCTGGGGAAATGGGGGAAAAATGAGAAAAAATGGCATTAAAATGGGGTAGAAAGGGAAAAAATGGCATTAAAATGGGAGAAAATGGCATTAAAATGGGAAAAAACGGTGTTAAAATGGGGTAAAGTGAGGTAAAATGGCATTAAAATGGGGTGAAATGGGCAGGTACTCGCGGCGGGAGCGCTTCTGCAGCGCGGGGATCTGGGAAAAGGGGGAAAATGGGAAAAAATGGCAAAAAACGGCATTAAAATGGGGTAAATTGAGATTAAAATGGGATAAAATGGGGGAAAATGGCATTAAAGTGGGGTGAAATGGGCAGGTATTCCCAGCAGGAGCGCTTCCGCAGCGCGGGGATCTGGGGGAACGGTGGAAAATGGCATTAAAACGGGAGAAAATGGTATTAAAATGGGGTTAAATGGTATTAAAATGGGGTAAAATGGGAAAAAACGGCATTAAAGTGGGGTGAAATGGGCAGGTACTCGCAGCGGGAGCGCTTGCACAGCTCAGGGATCTGGGAAAATGGGGGGAAAGGGGAAAAAATGGCATTAAAATGGGAGTAAATGGCATTAAAATGGGAGAAAATGGGGAAAAATGGCATCAAAATGGGGTAAAATGGGGTGAAATGGGCAGGTACTCGCGGTGGGAGCGTTTGTGCAGCTCAGGGATCCGGGGAAAATGGGGAAAAAAAGGGGAAATGAGGTTTTTGGAGTCTGCAGCTCTCTCACCATGGCTTTCTGGTCCTCCTCAGCCATTTTCAGGCGTTTTTGGGCTTCTTCATAGGCCTGGAGGAGGAAAAGGGGGTGAGGAAGTGGGGGCACCCCCAAATCCCACTGAGAACCCCCCAAACCAGACCCAGAACCCCTCAAATCCCTCCCTAGGACACCTCAAACCCCTCTCAACGCCCCCAAAACCCCCTCAAACCCCCTTCAAACCTCCCCAAACCCCCCTCAGATCCCCCCAAGGACCCCTCAAACCCCCACCGGTCCCGCTGGCGGTCGCGCCGCCGCAGGCGCTCGGCGAAGGCGTCGCGCTCGCGCAGGTCCCGCAGCCGCTCCCGCTCCGACGCCTCCCACTCCTCCTCCGGCTCCTCGGGGGGCTCGGGGGCTCTTGGGGAGGGGGAAACACCCATTGGGGGACCCCAAAACCCACCCCGGGGAGGGGGAGTGGGGAAAACACAGCCGGGGTGCAAAAAATGGGGGGAATCCAAGCTGGGAAGCTCAAAAATCAACTCGGGAACCCCAAAAATCCGCCTGGGAACCCCAAAAACCAACTCGGGACACCCAAAATCCACCTGGGAACCCCAAAATCCCACCTGGGACACCAAAATCGCACATGGAAAGCTAAAAAAACAACTCTGGACACCCCAAATCCACCTGGAAACCCCAAAATCCCACCTGGGAACCTCAAAAAACAACTCGGGAACCCCAAAAATCCACCTGGGAACCTCAAAAACCAACTTGGGACTCCCAAAACCCCACCTGGGACCCCAAAAACCAACTCAGGACACCCAAAATCCACCTGGGAACCCCAAAATCTGCCTGGGAATCCCCAAATCCCACCTGGGAAGCCCAAAATCCCACCTGGGACACCAAAAACAAACTTGGGACACCCAAAACCCCACCTGGGAACTTCAAAAACCAACTTGAGACACCCCAAATCCACCTGGGAACCCCAAAATCCCACCTGGGACACCAAAAACAAACTTGGGACACCCAAAACCCCACCTGGGAACTTCAAAAACCAACTTGAGACACCCCAAATCCACCTGGGAACCCCAAAATCCCACTCAGGTACCCCAAAATTCCACCTGGGACCCCCAAAACCAAAATGAGGCACGCAAAATCCACCTGGGAGCACAAAAAACATACTCAGGACACCAAAAAAAAGGGTTAAAATCCCACCCGGGACCCCAAAAACCAACTTGAGAGACACAAATTCCCACCTGGAATCTCAAAAACCAACTCGGGACACCCAAAATCCCACCTGGGACCCCAAAAATCCCTTTTGGGACCCCCTAAAAAAAACTCGAGAGACACAAAATCCAATCAAAAACCACAAAATCCCACTCAGGACCATCAAAAACCAACTTGAGAGACCCAAAATCCCACCTGGGAGCACTGAAATCCCACCTGGGACCCCCAAATCCCACCTGGGACCCCCAAAATCCCCCCACGAGCACAAAAAAAGGAGAAATCTGTGGGATTTGAGGGGTTTTGGGGGGTTCTGAGAGGGGAAATCCCAAAATTCCAACACCCAAAGGATCAGGGGGAGCCCCAAGGGGAACGAGGGACCCTCGAGACCCCCCAAAACTGGGGTGACCCCAACATCCCGGGGGTCCCTGGTGCCTTCTGCTGACCCCAAAACCCAGGGGTCACTTCCGGTGCCCCCCAAGGGCATCAGTGACCCCGAGACCCCCCAGATTTGGGGATTTCCCCCCAAAACCCCCCCTCCACTCACGGCGGGGGCTCCGGCTCGGCCGCGGGGGTCTCGGGGGGGGACTCGGAGCGCTGCCGCCGCCGCAGGTGGCGCCGCCGGGGGCGTGGCTCCTCCTGGGCGTGGTCGCGGGCGGGGCCCGGCCCCTCCTCCTCGTCGCTCTCCACCAATCGGTAGCCGCGGTTCTGGCGCTGCAGCTCCAGCGCCGCCCGCTCGGCCGCGCGCCCGGGGGGCTCCCGGGGGGCTTCCCGGGGCACCTGCGGGGCCGGGACGCACCTGAGCGAGGCCGGGGTGGCCACGCCCGCTTGGCCACGCCCGCTTGACCACACCCAATATGGCCACACCCACTTAGCCACATCCAATATAGCCGCACCTAATTAGCCACACCCAAGATGGCCAAACCCACTTAACCACACCCTAAATGGCCACGCCCACTTGGCCACACCCAAAACAGCCACACCAAATATGGCCATGCCTACTTAATCACGTCAAATATGGCCACCCTAATTAGGCACACCCAGATTGGCCACGCCCACTTAGCCACACCCCTAATGGCCACACCCATGTGACCACACCCACTTAACCACATCCAATATGGCCGCACCTAATTAGGCACACCCAACTTGGCCACGCCCACTTAGCCACACCCCTGGTGGCCACACCCATGTAACCACATTCAATATGGCCACGCCCCCATTGGGCCACACCGAAAAAGGTCACGCCCATTGCAAGCCACAGCTCTCAGCCTGATTGGCTGCTGTGCGTGCGAGACACGCCCACTTGTGGTGATGTAATATTTAAAGGTGGCTAAACCACACCCACTCCTGACCACAGCTTGTTTTCAGGCCCCACCCCTTGTGGATTGACCACGCCCTCAGGACTAAATATGGTGCGGTCAAACCACGCCCACTCCCCCTCAGGCCACGCCCCATCGCCATACAAAGCCACCTCCCCTCACGCAAGCCCCGCCCACTCTCCCCTCACACACAAGCCCCGCCCACTCATTCCTCACACACAAACCCCGCCCACTCTCCCCTCACACACAAACCCCGCCCACTCATTTCTCACACACAAGCCCCGCCCACCTTGTCCCACAACTGGCGCGCGAACTCGCGCACGCGCGGCTCCTCCACGCGCAGGGCCTCGGTCTCGCGCAGCCGCTCCAGCAGCTCCTCCAGGCTCCGGCTGCGCCGCGCCAGCGCCACCAGGAAGGCGGGGACATGGCGGGCGCTGAGGCCGAGCAGCTCCTGCAGCTGCCCGGACACCCAGCGCTCCAGGGCCGCCGTGGCCGCTGCGGCCGCCATGGCCGCTCCTGCTTCTTCCTCCTCCTTCTCCTCCCCTCGCGAGGCCGCCGTCCAATCAGCGTCCAGCGCGGGAAGGCCTCGGCCAATCAGCACCCGGATAGCGCGCAGTGGGCGGGTTCCGCCAATCAGAGCGAGGCCGCGCCCGCTAACGGGATTACCGGAATGTCGCGAGAGCGCGGGCGGTTCTACCGTAACGCCGCGTTGAGAAGCGCGAGCGAATTCGGCATTTGGGATGCTGGGCCCGAAATTCCCGTTTTTATCCCCAAAATACCCGGTTTTATCCCCAAAATCCCCGGTTTTATCTCTAAAATCCATCAATCCCCTCTCTCCCCCGGGAATTCGTCGCTATTTTCCCTAAATCCGTGTTTTTCCCCTCAGAAATCCCCCCTCGCCCTCAGCTCCCCCCGCTCCGAAATTCCCAAGAATCCCCAAATTTTCCTCCCCAAAATGCGTGATTTTCCCACCAAATCCCCCAAAATCCCAAGGATCTCCCTTCCCGTCAGGGATCCCCCACTCCCTTCACAAAACTTTCCTTTTTTTATGGCTCAAAACGTTTTTACTACAAAAAACCCTCTCAAAAACAGCATTTGTACAAAAAACGACATTTTCCCTGCAAATCCTGGATTTCTGTGGGAATGAGGCGACAGGACCCCAAATTTTGGGGCACCTGGAGCTTCAAAAATCTACCGAAACCCAAAGTTTTCGGTTTGCAGGAGACATTTTGGGGCACCAGGACCCCAAATTTGGAGGTTTTGGGGTTTTGGGATCCCAAACTCCAAAACTTCGAAGATTTGGGAATTTTTGGGGACCCCAACCTTGAGAAATTTGTGGTTTTTGGGGTCAGCCGTTGTGCTTCTGGCGCTTCCAGAAGCTTTTGATGTCGGGCTGCCCCAGTAACCCAAAATTTGAAGATTTGTGACCCCAAACTCCGGGATTTTGAGGATTTTTGACCCCAAACTCTGGGATTTTGGGGATTTTAGGATCCCAGACTCCAGGATTTTGGGCATTTTGGGGTTTTTTGGCTCAGCCGTTGTGCTTCTGGCGCTTCCAGAAGCGTTTGACGTCAGGGTGCCCCAGTAACCCCAAATTCGGCCATTTTGGGGTTTTTTAGACCCTAAACTCCACGATTTTGAGGATTTTGGGGTCCCGAACTCAGTGAATTTGTAGGTTTTGGGTATTTTGGGGTCAGCCGTTGTGCTTCTGGCGCTTCCAGAAGCGTTTGACGTCGGGGTGCCCCAGTAACCCCAAATTCGGCCATTTTGGGGTTTTTTAGACCCCAAACTCTGGGATTTTGGGAATTTTAGGATCCCAGACTCCGGGATTTTGGGTATTTTGGGGTTTTTGGGGTCAGCCGTTGTGTTTCTGGTGCTTCCAGAAGCATTTCACGTTGGGATGGCCTAGTAATCCCAAATCTGAAGATTTTTGCCCCCAAACTCCGGGATTTTGGGAATTTTAGGATCCCAGACTCCGGGATTTTGGGTATTTTGGGGTTTTTGGGGTCAGCCGTTGTGCTTCTGGCGCTTCCAGAAGCGTTTGACGTCGGGGTGGCCGGCGGGGGTGACGACCATCAGGCGCCGCGCGGGGTTCTCGAACACCAGCACCCCCAGGGCCCGGGCGTGGTCCCGCAGCACCTCGAAATCCACCTGGGACAGGAACTGGTTGTACAGCACACCTGGGGGAGGGGACAGCCTTGGGGACACCGCCGGGGTGGCACTGTCACCTTCGGTGTCACCTCCCCCTTGGGGACACCGCCAGGATTGGCATTTCCCGCTGGGGACATCCCCAGGGTGTCACCTCCCTCCTTGTGGCATCACCTCGACACTCTGGTGTCACATCCCCTCCTTGGGGACATCCCCAGAGTGTCACCTCCCCCTTGGGGACACCACCAGGATTGGCATTTCCCGTTGGGGACATCCCCAGGGTGGCACCTCCCACCTTGGGGACATGGTCTGTGGGGTCACCTCCCTCCGTGTGGCGTCACCTCAACACTCTGGTGCCACATCCCCACCTTGGGGACATTCTCAGTGTCACCTCCCCCCTTGGGGACATGGCCTGGGTGTCACCTCCCTCTGTGTGGCGTCACCTCGACACTCTGGTGTCACCTCCCCTCCTTGGGGACATCCCCAGAGTGTCACCTCCCCCTTGGGGACATCTCCAGGGTGGCACCACCCCCTTGGGGACATGGCCTGGGTGTCACCTCCCTCCTTGTGGTGTCACCTCCCACCTTGGGGACATCCTCAGGATCCTCATTTCCCCTTGGGGACATCCCCAGGGTGTCACCTCCCACCTTGGGGACACTTTAAGAACCCTCTGGGGACACTCTGGGGACACCTTGGGGGTGACACTCTGGGGACACCCTGAGGACACTTTGGGGACACTCTGGGGACACCTTGATGACACCTTGATGACACTTTGGGGACACTCTGGGGACGCTCTGGGGACACCCTGGGGATACCTTGGTGACACTTTGGGGACACTTTGGGGATACCTTGGTGACACTTTGGGGACACTTTGGTGGCACTTTGGGGACACCCTGGTGGCACTTTGGGGACATTTTGGGGACATGTGGGGACACTGACCCTCCGAGAAGCGCAGCCGGTCCCGCTCGAGCTCCCAGAGCCGGATCTGGTCCGTGATGGTCGGGGGCAGCACCGGGCTCTGGGGACAGGGACGGGGACACCGTGGGGACACAGGGACAGGGACAGACATGGGGACAGGGACGGGGACAAGGACAGGGACACAGTGGGGACACAGGGGACAGAGACACGGGGACAAGGACACGGGGACAGGGACACAGGGACAAGGACAGGGACATGGGGGGGACACAGGGACAGGACAGGGACACGGGGACACAGGGACAGGAACAGGGACACGGGACAGGGACAGGGACACAGAGACAGGGACATGGGAACAAGAACACGGGGGACAGGAACACGGGGACAGGGACAGGGACATGGTGGGGACAGCACAGGGACACAGGGACATGGGGACAGGGACACAGAGACAGGGACACAGGGACAAGGATGGGGACAGAGGGGACAGAGACATGGGGACAGGGACACAGTGGGGACACAGTGGGGACACGGGGGACAAGGACACGGGGACAGGGACACAGGGACAGGGACACAGAGGGGACACAGGGGAACAGTGGAGAGTCCCAGGAATGGGATTTAGGACCTCCCAAAAGATGTGAGACCCCACAAAATGGATTTAGGATCCCCAAATTTAGGCTCCCCAGAGGATTTGGGACCCCCAGAAGATTTGAGACCCCCCCATAAAGGATTTGGGACCCCCATAATGGATTTGGGACCCCCAGGGGATTTGGGCAGGGACACAGGGACATGGGGACAGGGACACAGAGACAGGGACACAGGGACAAGGATGGGGACAGAGGGGACAGAGACATGGGGACAGGGACACAGTGGGGACACAGTGGGGACACGGGGGACAAGGACACGGGGACAGGGACACAGGGACAGGGACACAGAGGGGACACAGGGGAACAGTGGAGAGTCCCAGGAATGGGATTTAGGACCTCCCAAAAGATGTGAGACCCCACAAAATGGATTTAGGATCCCCAAATTTAGGCTCCCCAGAGGATTTGGGACCCCCAGAAGATTTGAGACCCCCCCATAAAGGATTTGGGACCCCCATAATGGATTTGGGACCCACATAAAGGATTTGGGACCCACATAAAGGATTTGGGACCCCCAGGGGATTTGGGACCCCCCCATAAAGGACTTGGGAACCGCCATAAAGGATTACGGGATCCCCAAAATGAATTTGGGATCCCCAAATTCAGGACCCCCAATAAAGGATTTGGGACCCCCAGGGGATTTGGGACCCCCATAAAGGATTTGGCCCCCCCCAGGGGATTTGGGGTCCCTCGGGGTCCCCTCACCTGTTTGGCCATCACGGGGTGGGCGCGGGTGCGCAGGAAGTGAATGATCTGTGGGGCAGGGGCGTCACCGGGGGGGACACCGTGTCCCCATGTCCCCTGTGTCACCCTATCCCAGTGTCCCCAGTGTCCCCAGTGTTCCCTGTGTCCCCATGTCACCAATGTCCCCATATCCCTGTGTCCCCTGTGTCACCATATCCCAATGTCCCCAGTGTCCCCATGTCACCAGTGTCCCCATACCCCCCCCCCCCAGGGGATTTGGGGTCCCTCGGGGTCCCCTCACCTGTTTGGCCATCACGGGGTGGGCGCGGGTGCGCAGGAAGTGAATGATCTGTGGGGCAGGGGCGTCACCGGGGGGGACACCGTGTCCCCATGTCCCCTGTGTCACCCTATCCCAGTGTCCCCAGTGTCCCCAGTGTCCCCAGTGTCCCCATGTCACCAATGTCCCCATATCCCTGTGTCCCTTGTGTCACCCTATCCCAATGTCCCCGATGTCCCCAGTGTCCCCATGTCACCAATGTCACCATATCCCAATGTCACCATATCTCAATGTCCCCTGTGTCCCCAATGTCCCCATGTCCCTGTGTCCCTTGTGTCACCATATCCCAGTGTCACCAATGTCCCCAGTGTCCTTGTGCCACTAATGTCACCATATCCCAATGTCCCCAGTGTCCCCATGTCACCAGTGTCCCCATACCCCAATGTCCCCAGCATCCCTGGTGTCCCCATATCCAGTGTCCCCAGTGTCCCCATACCCCAATGTCCCCAGTGTCCCCAATGTCCCCAGCATCTCTGCTGTCCCCATATCCAGTGTCCCCGTTGGTGTCCCCAATGTCCCCATTGGTGTCCCCAGTGTCACCTGCTTGGCGGTGATGCCGTTGGCGATGGCTGCCTGCACGCTGTCCCCAATGTCCCCATTGCTGTCCCCAGTGTCCCCAGTGTCCTCATTGGTGTCCCCAATGTCCCCAGTGTCACCTGGTCTGCAGTGATGCCATTGGCGATGGCCACCTGCATGCTGTCCCCAATGTCCCCAGTGTCCCCCAGTGTCCCAGTGTCCCCAGTGTCCCCAGTGTCCCCACTGCTGTCCCCAGTGTCCCCATTGCTGTCCCCAATGGTGTCCCCAGTCCCCCATAAAGGATTTGGGACCCCCATAAAGGATTTGGGACCCCCAGGGGATTTGGGACCCCCATAAAGGATTTGGGACCCCCCCCAGGGGATTTGGGACCCCCATAAAGGATTTGGGACCCCCCCCAGGGGATTTGGGACCCCCATAAAGGATTTGGGACCCCCCCCAGGGGATTTGGGACCCCCATAAAGGATTTGGGACCCCCATAAAAGATTTGGGACCCCCCATAAAGGATTTGGGACCCCCATAAAGGATTTGGGACCCCCATAAAAGATTTGGGACCCCCCATAAAGGATTTGGGACTCCCATAAAGGATTTGGCCCCCCCCAGGGGATTTGGGGTCCCTCGGGGTCCCCTCACCTGTTTGGCCATCACGGGGTGGGCGCGGGTGCGCAGGAAGTGAATGATCTGTGGGGCAGGGGCGTCACCGGGGGGGACACCGTGTCCCCATGTCCCCTGTGTCACCCTATCCCAGTGTCCCCAGTGTCCCCAGTGTTCCCTGTGTCCCCATGTCACCAATGTCCCCATATCCCTGTGTCCCCTGTGTCACCATATCCCAATGTCCCCAGTGTCCCCATGTCACCAGTGTCCCCATACCCCAATGTCCCCAGCATCCCTGGTGTCCCCATATCCAGTGTCCCCAGTGTCCCCATACCCCAATGTCCCCAGTGTCCCCAATGTCCCCAGCATCTCTGCTGTCCCCATATCCAGTGTCCCCGTTGGTGTCCCCAATGTCCCCATTGGTGTCCCCAGTGTCACCTGCTTGGCGGTGATGCCGTTGGCGATGGCTGCCTGCACGCTGTCCCCAATGTCCCCATTGCTGTCCCCAGTGTCCCCAGTGTCCTCATTGGTGTCCCCAATGTCCCCAGTGTCACCTGGTCTGCAGTGATGCCATTGGCGATGGCCACCTGCATGCTGTCCCCAATGTCCCCAGTGTCCCCCAGTGTCCCAGTGTCCCCAGTGTCCCCAGTGTCCCCACTGCTGTCCCCAGTGTCCCCATTGCTGTCCCCAATGGTGTCCCCAGTGTCACCTGCTCGGCGGTGATGCCGTTGGCGATGGCCGCCTGCACGCTGTCCCTTGTCACCTGGGCCACCACCAGGTTGGGGAAGCGATAGAGCAGCTCCGAGAAGAGCGCGATGAGGGCCACCTGCAGCTCCGAGTCTGGGGACAGCAACGGGGACATTGGGGACACTGAGAGGATTGGGGACACTGGGGGGATTGGGGACATTGGGGACACTGGGAGGACTGGGGGGATTGGGGACATTGAGAGGATTGGGGACACTGGGGGGATTGGGGACATTGGGGACATTGAGAGGACTGGGGACATTGGGGTGTTGGGGACATTGGGGACATTTTGGAACAGTGGGGACCAAGGGTGACAGGGAGGTGACAGGGGGGTGTCCACAAAGTGACAAGGGTGTCCCCAGGCTGTCCCCACATTGTCCTGGGCTGTCCCCATGTCCCCCCGTGTCCCCCGGTGTCACCTGTGTAGGCGTAGATGCGGTAGTTGGTCTCCACCAGGATGAAGCCGTGTCCGTCGGGCTCTGTCCCCGCTGTCCCCAGCCCTGTCCCCGCTGTCCCCAGCGATGTCCCCGCTGTCCCCGAGGCCAGCGCGATGGCCAGCCGGGTCGGGTAGAACCGCCGCGACTTCCGCTGGGGACAGGGACACCGCGTCCCCAAGTGTCCCCAAATGTCCCCAGTGTCCCCAGGAGCTGTCCCTGAGTGTCCCCAAATGTCCCCAAGGGAGCCAGGAACTGTCCCTGAGTGTCCCCAGTGTCCCCAAGGGGGGCAGGAGCTGTCCCCAGTGTCCCCAGGAGCTGTCCCCAGTGTCCCCAAATGTCCCCAAGGGAGCCAGGAACTGTCCCTGAGTGTCCCCAAATGTCCCCAAGTGTCCCAGAGTGTCCCCAAGGGGGGCAGCCGCTGTCCTTGAGTGTCCCCAAGGGGACAGAAGCTGTCCCCAGTGTCCCCGAGTGTCCCAGAGTGTCCCCAAGGGGGCCAGGAGCTGTCCCCATTGTCCCCAAGAGCTGTCCCCATTGTCCCCAAGTGTCCCCTGGTCAGTCCTGGCACCTCCCAGTCCCTCCCAGTGTCCCCGTGTCCCCTCCCAGTCCCTTCCAGTGTCCCCAGTGTCCCCTCAATGCCTTCCCAGTCCCTCCCAGTGCCTCCCAATGGCCCCAGTGTCCCTGTGTCCCCTCCCAGTATCCCCGTGTCCCCTCCCAGTCCCTCCCAGTGTCCCCATGTCCCCTCCCAGTGTCCCTGTGTCCCCTTCCAGTGTCCCCCATGTCCCTTCCCAGTGTCCCCAGTGTCCCCTTAATGCCCTCCCAGTGTCCCCTCCCAGTATCCCCAGTGTCCCCCCGTCCCCTCCCAGTTGCTCCCAGTGTCCCCTCAATGCCTTCCCAGTCACTCCCAGTGCCTCCCAGTGTCCCCTCATTGCTCCCCCAGTGTCCCTGTGTCCCTCCCAGTGTCCCCGTGTCCCTCCCAGTGTCCCCGTGTCCCTCCCAGTGTCCCCGTGTCCCTCCCAGTGTCCCCGTGTCCCTCCCAGTGTCCCCGTGTCCTCTCCCAATCACTCCCAGTCCCTCCCAGTGTCCCTGTGTCCCTCCCAGTGTCCCGGTGTCCCCTCCCAGTGTCCCCGTGTCCCTTCCCAGTGTCCCTGTGTCCCCTCCCAGTGCTCCCAGTGCTCCCAGTTACCTTCCTCTGGAACACCAGCCCGAACTCGCGCAGGTGCTGCAGGAACGTGAGCAGCGACTCGCTCATCCCCTCCACCGAGTAGTCCTGACACCAGTTCACACCAGTTTGGACCAGTTCGGACCAGTTTGGACCAGCTTGGACCCATGATCTCCCAGTTCAGACCCGTGACCTCCCAGTTCACTCCCAGTTGTCCCCAGTAACCACCAGAACATCCTCAGTGCTCCAGCAATGATCCTGGAACACTCCCAGTTCATCCCAGTTCAAACCAGTAACCTCCCAGTGTATCCCAGTAATCTCCCAGTCCATCCCAGTAACCTCCCAGTTCAAACCAGTAACCTCCCAGTGTATCCCAGTAATCTCCCAGTCCATCCCAGTAACCTCCCAGTTCAAACCAGTAACCTCCCAGTTCATCCCAATTCCTCCCAAACTCTTCCCAGTTCATCCCAGTTCATTCCAGTCGCCCCCAAACCTCTCCCAGTTCACCCCAGTCCCTCCCAATCCCCTCCCAGTTTATCCCAATCCCCTCCCAGTTCCCTCCCAGTCCTTCCCAATCCCCTCCCAGTCCCCTCCAGTCCCTCCCAGTGCTCCCAGTTCCTCCCAGTCCCCCCCAATCCCCTCCCAGTCCCTCCCAGTTCCCCCAAATCCCCTCCCAGTCCTTCCCAAACCTCTCCCAGTCCGTCCCAATTCCTTCCCAGTCCCCCCCAGTCCGTCCCAGTCCGTCCCAGTTCCTCCCAGTCCCCCCCAGTCCCCTCCCAGTCCCCCCAGTTCCCTCCCAGTCCCTCCCAGTGCCCCCAGTCCCACCTTGCCCAGGGTGGAGAAGCTCAGCTGGAACAGGAAGGACAAAATCTCCACCAGGTCCATCCCCCGCGCCTGGGGGGGCACAGGGGGGTTTGGGGGGGGGCCCAGCATTTTTGGGGACCCCCCCCAAATTTTGGGATTTTTGGGACCCCCCCAAATTTTGGGAACTTCCCCCAGTCTGGGGAAAAAACTCAAATTTGGGAAAAAAAAACCCCAAGTTTTAGGGAAACCCCCAGATTTTAGGGACCCCCCCAAATTCTGGGACCCCCCTCCCAGATTTTGGGACCCCCCAAAATCCCACACCAAAGCCCTAGACCTGGATGACGTCACTTGAGCTGTTTTTTGAGGCAAATCCAGGTTTTTTTGGAAACCGCAAAAATTTTAGGGTTTTTAGGGACCCCCCCGATATTTTGGGGACCCCCCCGAGTTTCAGACCCCCCCCAATTTTGGGATTTCCCTCCCAGCACCTCCCGGATGACAAAACCCCCAAACCCAGGTGTCGTTTTTGAGGTGAATTCGGGGTTTTTTGGGGATCCCACAAGTTTTGGGGGTTTTGGGGCTCCCCGAAGGCGAATTTTGGGGGATTTTGGGGCTCCCTGACCTCGGCGCCCCGCAGGTACTGCAGGATGAAGAACCAGAGCTGGGCGGGGGTGTCGAGCAGCAGGAACTGGAACCCGGCCGAGGTGATGCAGGGGGGCTCGCCCCCCTCGCTGGGGACCCCAAAAAATCGGGGAGGGGGCGTCAGGAAACCCCCCAAATCCGCAGGAACCACCCCAAATTCACAGCACCGAAAATTCAACTGAATCGGCCCAAAATTCTCACCAAAATCCCGCCTAAAATCCAACTAAATTGGTGCAAAATTCTCCCCAAAATCCGTCTAAATCAGCCCATAATTCTCCCCAAAATCTGTCTGAATCAGCCCATAATTCTCCCCAAAATCCCCCTCAAAATCCGGAAGAATCAGCCCCAAATCTTCCCCAAAATCCCCCTCAAAATCCATCTAAATTGGCCCAAAATCCTCAATTCCCCTCACTGGTGACCCCAAAATCAGGGAGGGGCCCCAAATCCTCTCCAGGACTTCCAAAATCCCTCCCAAAACCGTGAAATTCCCTCAAATCCTCCCCAAATCCCTCCAAATTTCCCCTCCAAAATGCCCCAAAATTCCCCCAAACCTCTTCATGAGCCCGGCCTGCACCAGCAGCTGCACCAGGTCCCAAAATTCCCCTCAAAACTCCCCCAAAACCCCCTAAAATCCCCCAAATCCTCCCAAATCCCCTCAAATCCCTCTAAATTCCCTCTAAACCTCCTCAGGACCGCCCAAAATTCCCAAAATGCCCCAAAATTCCCCCAAACCTCTTCATGAGCCCGGCCTGCACCAGCAGCTGCGCCAGGTCCTGGCTGACGGCGGCGCTCGGTGATCCAACCATGAAGTGCAAAACCACCTAAAAATAAAACAATTTCAGCTTCTCTGGCACCCCAAAACCCCCCAAAATCCCATAAAATGCCCCAAAATCCCCCAAAACGCCCCAGTTCCCACCTCCCAGCGCTCCTCGGCGTACTTGTCCAGCGCGGGCACGTCGCGGGCGTGCCGGTCCGGGCCCAGCGGGGCCGTGTCGTCCGACCAGGCCTTGCCCCTGCCAGGACCCCAAAATGCGGCCCCCGGGGGGGTCAGCACCCCAAAAAAACCCAAAAACCACCCCCCAAAACCCCCAGACCCACAAAGTGCCAAAAGTGTCCGGAAATTCTACGGCGGCGCTCGGTGATCCAACCATGAAGTGCAAAACCACCTAAAAATAAAACAATTTCAGCTTCTCTGGCACCCCAAAACCCCCCAAAATCCCATAAAATGCCCCCAAATCCCCCAAAACGCCCCAGTTCCCACCTCCCAGCGCTCCTCGGCGTACTTGTCCAGCGCGGGCACGTCGCGGGCGTGCCGGTCCGGGCCCAGCGGGGCCGTGTCGTCCGACCAGGCCTTGCCCCTGCCAGGACCCCAAAATGCGGCCCCCGGGGGGGTCAGCACCCCAAAAAAACCCAAAAACCACTCCCCAAAACCCCCAGACCCAGAAAGTGCCAAAAGTGTCCCGAAATTCCCTCATAAACCCCGAATTTCTGATTGTTTGGCCCAAATTCCCACACAGGCCTTGGCCCTGGAGAACCCCTAAAATCAGACCCCGTGAGGGGGTTTGGGCCCCAAAAACCACCCCAAAAAGTCCAAAAACTGCCCCACAAAACCCCCAGATGCAGAAAGTGCCAAAAGTGTCCGGAAATCCCCTCATAAACCCCGAATTTCTGATTGTTTGGCTCAAATTCCCACACAGGCCTCGGCCCTGGGGAACCCCTAAAATCAGCAACACCTGAGGGGGTTTGGGCCCCAAAAACCACCCCAAAACCACCCTAAAAACCCAAAAAAACACCCAAAATCCACCCTAAAAATCTCCAAAACCACCCCAAAACCTGCCAGTCCGACAAAGCGTGGGAAACGCACAGGGCCCAGACTTCCTCCCCATTTTTTCCTCATTTCCCCTCCATCCTCCCCCAAATTTTCCCCATTTCTCCCCGTTCCCTCCCATTTTTGCTGCATTTCCCCCTTTTTTTTCTCATTTCTCCCTCCCGCCCTGCCCCCCCATTCTCCCTCATTTTCCTCCCATTTTTTCCCCATTTCCCCCCACTTTTCCCCATTTGCCCTCATTCTCCCCCATTTTCCCCACACTTTTTCTTCCATTTTCCCACCATTTTTTCCTCCATTTTCCCCCCATTTTTCCCTTTATTTTTCCCCCATTTCCCCCCATTTTTTCTTCATTTCTCCCCCACGTCTTCTGATTTTTTTCCTATTTCCCCCCAATTTTCCCCCCATTTTTACCCATTTTTCCCCCCGTTCCCTCCCACTTTTTCTCCTTTTCCCCTCATTCCTCTCTCCCTTCCAGTTCCCCATTTTTCCCCATTTCCCCCCACTTTTCCCCATTTACCCTCATTTATTCTCCATTCCCCCCATTTTCCCCCCACTTTTCCTCTATTTTTCCCTATTTTTTTCTCATTTTTCTCTATTTTTTCCTTCATTTCTTGCCCATTTTTTTACTCATTTGCCCCCATTTTTTCTCCATTTTTCCCCATTTCTTCTGATTTTTCCCCTATTTCCCCCCTAATTTTCCCCCCATTTTTACCCATTTTCCCCCAATTTTTCCTCCATTTTTTCCTCCATTTTCCCCTCATTTTTCCCCTAATTTTCCCCCCATTTTTTCCTAATTTGCCTGCATTTTTTCTCCATTTTTCCCCCATTTCTTCTGATTTTTCCCCCCTAATTTTCTCCCATTTTCCCCCATTTTTCCCCAATTTTTCAACGTTCCCCCCTCACCCCCCGAGCAGGGCGACGCGCAGGTTCTGTCGGAAGTTGGGGTGCAGGGCGACCCCCGGGAGCCCCCCCGGGAGGGTGTGGGGGTGCCACAGGCGCAGCTCCAGCAGCACCTCCTGGCTCTGCTGCTGCTCCCTGGGAACAGCACCAAACCACACAAAATCACCCCAAATCACATGAAATCACCCCAAAATCACACAAAATCACCCCGAAATCATACAAAACAGCCCAGAAATCACACAAAATCACCCAAAATCACCCAAAATCACACCAAAATCACAACAAAACACACCAAATCACACCAAATCACACAAAACAGCCCAAAATAACCCCAAAATCGCACAGAATCACCCCAAAAATCACACAAAATCACCCCAAAATCATACAAAACAGTCCAGAAATCACACAAAATCACCCCAAAATCATACAAAACAGTCCAGAAATCACACAAAATCACCCCAAAATCACACCAATGTCACACAAAATCACCCCAAAATCATACAAAAGAGCCCAGAAATCACACAAAATAGCCCAAAAATCACACAAAATCACACAAAATCACACAAAATAACCCCAAAATCAACCTAAAAATCACACAAAACCACACCAAGATCGCCCCAAAATCACACCAAATCACACAAAATCACACAAAATAACCCCAAAAACATACAAAATAGCCCAAAAATCACACAAAATCACACCAAAATCACATAAAATCACCCCAAAATCACATCCAGAAATCACAAAATCACACCAAAATCACACAAAATCACCCCAAAATCACCCCAAAATCACCCCAAGTGACCCCAAAATCATACAAAATCACCACAAAATCACACAGAACAGCCCAAAAATCACACAAATTGCCCCAAAATAGCCTCAAAATCACCCCAAAATAGCCACAAAAACACCTCTAAACCACCCAAAATCCCCCCAAAGCCCCCCCAGGACCCCCAAAGCCGCCCCCAGCCCCACCTGCTGTGCTCCTTCTTGACCCAGAGCCCCACGGCCGCCTGGGGCAGGGGCTGCTCCAGGAACAGCATCCGCATGATCCCGGCCTGGGCCAGGCCTGGCAGCTCCCTGGGGGGGACATTTGGGGGGTCGGGACCCCAAAAACAGCCCCAAAACCACCCCAAAAACCCCACCCCAAAAAACACCCGAAAAACCCCAATATTCTCCCAAAATCCACCAAAAACTGCTCCAAAAATCCCATCAAAAACGGCCCCAAATCCACCAGAAACGGCCCCAAATCCCGGCCTGGGCCAGGCCTGGCAGCTCCCTGGGGGGGAGATTTGGGGGGTCGGGACCCCCAAAACAGCCCCAAAACCACCCCAAAAACCTCACCCCAAAAAACACCCGAAAACCCCCAAAATTCTTCCAAAATCCATCAAAAACGGCCCCAAATCCCCCAAAACGGCCCCAAATCCCGGCCTGGGCCAGGCCTGGCAGCTCCCTGGGGGGAAATTTGGGGGGTTGGGACCCCCAAAACCACCCCAAAACCACCCCAAAAACCCCACCCCAAAAAACCTCCCAAAACACCCAAAAATCCTCCCGAAATCCATCAAAAATGGTCCCAAAATGCATCAAAACCGGCTCCAAATCCACCAAAAACGGCCCCAAATCCTGGCCTGGGCACTGGGTCAGTTTAGGTCAATTAGCGTTAATTAGGGTTAATTACCTCCACCTGAAAACGGCCAGGCAGGTGACACAGGGTGATTTTGGGACATTTAGGGTAATTTTAGGGATATTTGGAGTCGATTTGGGTGAACTAAGGGTTAATTAGAATTAGTTAAGTATTAATGGGGGTTAATTAGCGTTAATTAGGTTAATTAAGTGCACCTGAAGACGGCCAGGCAGGTGGCACAGGGTGATTTTGGGATATTTTAGGGATATTTTGGATCGATTTGTGTCAATTAAGGGTTAATCAGAGTTAATTAAGGATTAATGGGGGTTAATTAGCGTTAATTAGGTTAATTGGGCGCACCTGAAGACGGCCAGGCAGGTGGCGGGGTGCCCGTAGAGCCGGTCCAGCGTGGGGGGGCTGAGCCCCCGCAGGAACTCCTGCAGGTTCTTGCACTGCAGCTGCGCCCGCGGCAGCGCCATCGCACCTGGGGGGCACACCTGGGAGACACACCTGGGCACACCTGTGTGACACACCTGAATGACACACCTGAGTGACACCTGGGGGTACCTGAGTGACCCCTGAGTGACACCGGAGTGACACCTGAGTCACACCTGAGTCACACCTGGGCACACACTGCAGCTGCGCCCGCGGCAGCGCGATCGCGCACCTGGGGGGCACCCCTGGGAGACACACCTGAGTGACACCCCTGGGCCCTGCTGGGCACCTGAGTGACACCTGAGTCCCCCCTGGGCACACACTGCAGCTGCGCCCGCGGCAGCGCGATCGCGCACCTGGGGGGCACCCCTGGGAGACACACCTGAGTGACACACCTGTGTGACACACCTGGGCACACCTGGGCACCTGTGTGACACCCGAGTGACACCTGAGAGACACCTGAGTGACACCTGGGCACACCTGTTGTGACACACCTGTGTGACACACCTGGGGGCACCTGGGAGACACCTGTGTGACACCTGGGGGTACCTGAGTGACCCCTGAGTGACCCCTGGGCACACCTGGGCACACACTGCAGCTGCGCCCGCGGCAGCGCCATCACACCTGGGGGGCACACCTGTGTGACACCTGAGTGACACCTGAGGGACACACCTGGGCACACCTGGGCACACCCGAATTACACCTGGGCACACCTGGGGGCACCTGGGAGACCCCTGGATTACACCTGGGCACCCCTGGGACACATCTGTGCCACACCTGGGCACAGCTGGGTGACACCTGTGAGACACCTGGGCGCACCTGGGCACACCTGAGTGACACCTGTGAGACACCTGGGCGCACCTGGGCACAGCTGGGTGACACACCTGAGTGACACCTGGGTGACACACCTGTGTCACACCTGGGCACACCTGGGGGCACCTCCCCTCATCATCCCCCAAATCCCCAACTGACCCCATTCCCGCCCCGCCCCCAGGCTGCAATTAACCCCAAACCCCCATTAACCCAAATTAACCCCAGACCCCCCATTTAACCCAAATTAACCCCAGACCCCCAATTAACCCAAATTAAAAATCCCCCAAAATCCCCCAAAATCCCCCCTCGGCACTCACCGCACGCCGCGGCCCAGGCCACGCCCCCTTCCCGCCGAGGCCACGCCCCCAAACCAAAATCCCGCCCCATTTCCGCTGTCACGTGACGCTATTCCCGCCCTTTCCCCGGTCGCGCGGCGTTATCCCCGCCCTCTCCCCGGTCACGTGGTGCTGTCCCCGGTCACGTGGCGCGGCGGCGCCGCCCCGCCCGTGCCAAGATGGCGGCGGGCTCCCTCAGCCGTGCCGCGCTCGGCGCTCTGGGCGCTCTGGGCGCTCCGGGCGCTCCCGGGGCGCCCCGGGCCCGGNTTGAGAGGGGCTGAGAGGGACTGGGGGACACTGGGAGGGACTGGGAGAGGGGCTGGGATGGACTGGGAGGGACTGGGAGAGGGGCTGGGAGGGACTGGGAGGGGATTGGGGGGACTGGGAGACACTGGGAGGGGATTGCGATGAACTGGGGGGAACTGGGATGGACTGGGAGACGCTGGGACAGGTTTTGCCTGTGACCAGCACTGGTTTGTACTGGTGTGCATTGGTCTGGACTGGTTCCCAGTGGTTTTAGGCACTCCCTACTGGTTTATATTGGTTTATATTGGTCTGTACTGATTTATACTGCTTTATAGTGGTTCTTACTGGTCCATACTGGTTTATACTGGTTCATACTGGTTTTTATGGGTCCGTACTGGTCCGTACTGGTTTATACTGGTCCCGCAGGCGCCGCAGGGCCTCCCCAAGGGCTGGAGCCCCCAGGCTGAGGTGGAATATCGGCACCCGCTGGAGCCCGGCGGCAAAAAGGGTAACGGGGCTGGGGGGCTGGGGGGGATTTGGGGGGTTTTGGGGGGATTTGAGTGGATTTTGGGGAGATTTGGATGGATTTTTGAGAGATTTGGGGAGGATTTTGGGGGATTTTGGGGTGTCCCCAAGGGGGGGTGGCATTGTCACCTCCCCAGGTGACATCTGGGGACAGCCCTGTCCCAGTGCAGCCCCAAACCGGGGGAATTTGGGGTTGATTTGAGCAGATTTTGGGTGGATTTTTGGGGATTTTGGGTAGATTTGAGCACATTTTGGGGTATTTTGGGTGGATTTTGGGGGTGGTGGCCCTGCCACCCCCCTGAGGTGACATCTGGGGACACAGCCACGGATGTGCCCCTTTCCCACCTTGTACAGCCCCAATTTGGGTGAAATTTGGGTGAATTTTAGCGGATTTTGGGCAGATTTGAGCGGATTTTGAGCAGATTTTTGGGGGTTTTTGGGGATTTTGGGGGGTGGTGGCCCTGCCACCCCCCTGAGGTGACATTTGGGGACACAGCCACGGGCGTGCCCCTCCCCCCCCGGTACAGCCCCCGCTACGTCGAGGCCGCCTGGTACCAGTGGTGGGAGAGGGGAGGGGTCTTCAGCCCCCCCCCGCCTGAGCAGGTGAGGGGGGGACACACCTGGGGGGGTTTGAGCGAGACTGTGACCCTGCAGGACGCGCTGGTCCGATGGTCAGCGGGGCTTTGGGGGGGATTTGGGGAGATTTTGGGGGGTCTGGGGTGAGTTTGGGGGGTTTGAGGGGCGGTTTGGGGGGTTTGAATGGGATAATTTTGGGGATATTTTGAGGTTTATTTGGATTATTTTGGGGTAATTTTGGGAACATTTTAGGGGTGGTTTTGGGGTAATTTTGAGGTTTTTGGGTGCAGGCGGAGGATGCAGGGCTGGAGCGTCCTGTGGGTGCCGGGCACCGACCACGCTGGCATTGCCACCCAGGTGTGTCCCCAAATGTCACCAAATCCTCCTGAAACGTCCCCAAATCTGCTTGCCCTGTCCCCTGGGATGTCCCCAATGTGTCCCCAGTGTCCCCAGGCCATCGTGGAGCGCTGGCTGTGGCAGCACTGGGGGCTGTCCCTGCTGTCCCCAGGGATGTCCCCAGTGTCCCCAATGTGTCCCCAATGTCCCCAGGCCATCGTGGAGTGCTGGCTGTGGCAGCACCGGGGGCTGTCTGTGATGTCCCCAGGGATGTCCCCAGTGTCCCCAATGTGTCCCCAATGTCCCCAGGGATGTCCCCAGTGTCCCCAATGTGTCCCCAATGTCCCCAGGCCATCGTGGAGCGCTGGCTGTGGCAGCACGGGGGGCTGTCCCCAATGTCCCCAATGTGTCCCCAATGTGTCCCCAATGTCCCCAGGCCATCGTGGAGCGCTGGCTGTGGCAGCACCGGGGGCTGTCCCCGATGTCCCCAGGGATGTCCCCAATGTGTCCCCAATGTGTCCCCAATGTCCCCAGGCCATCGTGGAGCGCTGGCTGTGGCAGCAGCGCCGCCTGCGCCGGCAGGACCTGGGCCGGGCCGAGTTCCTGCGCGAGGTTTGGCGCTGGAAGGAGCGGTGAGGGGACACGGGGACACCTCGGGGACACCTCGGGGACATCGGGGACATCCCCGGGGACATCCCCCGGGGGCGGCCCCGCGGTGTCACCGCCCTGTCCCCCCCAGGCACGGGGACGAGATCCTGCAGCAGCTGCGGGCGCTCGGGGCCTCGCTGGACTGGAGCCGCTGCGCCTTCACCATGGACCCCGTCAGTGTCCCCAAACTGTCCCCAACTGTCCCCAAGGGTCCTCAGGGGTCACTGGGCTGTCCCCAAGGGTCACTGAGCTGTCCCCAAACTGTCCCCAGGGGTCACTGGGCTGGCCCCAAGGTGTCCTGGCTGTCCCCAGATGTTCTAGTCTGACCCTAAAGTGTTTCTAACTGTCCCCAAGCTGTCCCCAAGGGTCCCCAGGTGTTGCTGAACTGTCCCCAAGGGTCACTGAGCTGTCCCCAAAGTGTCCCCAAGTGTCCTGGTCGTCCCCAGGTGTTCCAATCTGGCCCTAAAGTGTTCCTAACTATACCTGAAGCATCCCAGAATTGTCCCCAAGGTGTCCCCAAGGGTCCCCAGGGGTCACTGAACTGTCCCCAAGGGTCACTGAGCTGTCCCCAAAGTGTCCCCAAGTGTCCTGGCCGTCTCCAGGTGTTCCAGTCTGGCCCTAAAGTGTTCCTGACTCCCCAAAGCATCCCAAGATTGTCCACAAACTGTCACCAGACTGTTCCCAAGGGTCCCTGAGGGTCACTGAGCTGACCCCAAGGGTCCCCAAGTGTCCTGGCCATTCCCAGGTGTTCCAATCTGGCCCTAAAGTGTTCCTAACTCTACCTGAAGCATCCCAGAATTGTCCCCAAGGTGTCCCCAAGGGTCCCCAGGGGTCACTGAGCTGTCCCCAAAGTGTCCCCAAGGGTCCCCAAAGTGCCCCAAACCTCCCCGAACTCCCCCAAACTTGTCCCCAACTCTCCTGAACTCCCCCGTGCTGTCCCCAAACCTCCCCAAACTGTCCCCAAACCTCCCCAAACTGTCCCCAAACCTCCCCAAACTGTCCCCAGAATGTCCCCAGAGTGTCTCTAGAGTTTCCCCAAGTGGCCCCTGCTGTCCCCAGAGTGTCCCCAGGGTGCCCCAAACCTCCCCGAACTCCCCCAAACTTGTCCCCAACTCTCCTGAACTCCCCCGTGCTGTCCCCAAACCTCCCCGAACTGTCCCCAAAGTGTCCCCAGAGTGTCCCCAGGTGTCCCCAGAGTGTCCCCAAGCGTCCCCGCTGTGTCCCCAGGGCTTCTCCCGCGCTGTCACCGAGGCCTTCGTGCGGCTCTTCAGGGCGGGGCTGATCCGGCGTGACCAGAGGGTGGTGACGTGGAGCTGCGCCCTGCGCTCGGCGCTGGCCGACATCGAGGTGTCCCCAACGTCCCCAATGTCCCCAGTGTCCCAAAGGGTGTCCCCAATGTCCCCAAATGTCCCCAGGGTCCCTGACCCGCGCTGCCCCCCCAGGTGGAGCCCCGTGTCCTGACGGGCCCCACGGCGCTGAATGTCCCCAACTGTCCCCACCCCGTCACCTTCGGCGTCCTCGTCACCTTCGCCTACCCCGTGGAGGGGGACGACGGTGGGTGGCGCTGGGGACACCAAGGGTGGCACTGGGGACACCGGGGGTGGCACTGAGAGTGGCACTGGGGACACTGGGGGTGGCACTGGGGACACCGGGGGTGGCACTGGGGACATCAAGGGTGGCACTGGGACACTGAAGGTGACACTGGGACATTGAGGGTGGCACTGGGGACATCAAGGGTGGCACTGGGGACAGCCTGGGTGGCACTGGGGACACTGAGGGTGGCACTGGGGACACCGGGGGCACTGGGGACAACACTGGGGGTGGTAGTGGGGACAGCCTGGGTGGCACTGGGGGCACTGAGGGTGGCACTGGGGACACCGGGGGCACTGGGGACACCGGGGGTGGCACTGGGGACACCGAGGGTGGCACTGGGGACATCAAGGGTGGCACTGGGGACAGCCTGGGTGGCACTGGGGACACTGAGGGTGGCACTGGGGACACCGGGGGCACTGGGGACATTCCAGGGTGGCTTTGGTGGCACCTGGGAGTGGCTTTGGGGAGGGGGTTCAGGGCTCCTGTCCTTGGCTGTCACCTGGGTGTCCCCTGAGTGTCACCTGAGTGTCCCCAATGTCCCTGATGTCCCCTGAGTGTTCCCAATGTCCCCTGAGTGTCCCTAATGTCCCCGCTGTCCCCTGAGTGTCCCCTGAATGTCCCCAATGTCCCCAGAGTCTCCAATGTCCCCTGAGTGTCCCCTGGCTGTCCCCTGAGTGTCCCTTGATGTTCTCAATGTCCCCAATGTCCCCTTGAGTGTCCTCAATGTCCCCTGAGTGTCCCCAATGTCCCTCATGTCCCCTTGAGTGTCCCCAATGTCCCCCATGTCCCCCGGCTGTCCCCTGAGTGTCCCCGGTGTCCCCTGAGTGTCCCCAATGTCCCCAATGTCCCCTGGCTGTCCCCTGAGTGTCCCTTGATGTTCTCAATGTCCCCAATGTCCCCTGGCTGTCCCCTGAGAATGTCCCCTGAGTGTCCCTTGATGTTCCCAATGTCCCCTGGCTGTCCCCAATGTCCCCGGTGTCCCCTGAGTGTCCCCGGTGTCCCCAGGGCTGGAGGTGCCCGTGGCCACCACCCGTCCCGAGACGCTCTTTGGGGACGTGGCCGTGGCCGTGCACCCGCGGGACCCGCGCTACCAGGTGGGGGCGGGGCCGAGCCTGGAGGGGCGGGGCTGAGCCTGGAGGGGTGGGGCTTCACCTGGAGGGGCGGGGCTGAGCCTGGAGGGGCGGGGCTGAGCCTGGAATGGAGTTACGGGGACTGGGAGGGACTGGGATAAACTGGGAGGGACTGGGGGGGACTGGGAATGGAGTTATGGGCACTGGGAGGGCATTGGGATAAACTGAGAGGGACTGGGGATGGAGTTGTGGGGACTGGGATAAACTGGGAACGGAGTTATGGGGGACTGGGATAAACTGGGAGGGACTGGGGATAGAGTTATGGGGACTGGGAGGGACTGGGATAAACTGGGAGTGACTGGGAGGAGATTGGGGAGGACTGGGAATAGAACTATGGGGACTGGGAGGGGGATTGGGATAAACTGGGAGGGACTGGGGAGCACTGGGAGGGGACTGGGATGAACTGGGAGGGAACTGGTATAGGGACTGGGAGGGACTGGGGGGAACTGGGATGGGGCACTGGGACCAGTGTGGGACTGGAAGGGAAGCAAGGGGTGACACTGGGTGACAAACAGGTGACCCGGGTGTGGCACAGGTGTGTCCCTGTCCCCAGGGGCGGTGAAGGTGACCCCCGGGCACAGCCCCCGGGCCCTGTGGGTGACACTGGGTGACACTGGGTGACAGTAGATGACAATAGCTGACAGATGACAGACAGTAGGTGACAGTAGGTGGCCCAGGTGTGGCACAGGTGTGGCACAGGTGTGTCCCTGTCCCCAGGGGCGGTGAAGGTGACCCCCGGGCACAGCCCCCAGGACCTGTGGGTGACACTGGGTGACAGTAGCTGGCAATGGGTGACAGTAGCTGGCTGTAGGTGACACAGGTGTGACCCAGGTGTGTCCCCAGGGGCGGTGAAGGTGACCCCCGGGCACAGCCCCCAGGACCTGGCGCTGGCCCGGGCCCACGCGCTGCCGCTGCTCTCGGTCATCGCCGACGACGGCACCTTGTGTCCCCCGGGCGGGGGGTGGCTGCAGGTGCGCCCACACCTGTCCCCAGTGTCCCCAAACTGTCCTAAAGTGTCCCCAGAAATGGCCCCAAACTGGCCCCAAAAATGGCCCCAAACTGGTCCCAAAACTGGCCCCAAACTGTTCCTAAAAATGGCCCCAAATTGTCCCTAAATGGCCCCAAAAATGACCTCAAAGTGTCCCCAAAAATGGCCCAAATGTGTCCCCAAACCTGGCCCATGTCCTCAGTCTCAATGTCCTCAATGTCTCCAGTCCCTTCGATGTCCCTGATGTCCCCAATCCAGCATTGTCCCCTCACTGTCCCCTCCCTGTCCCCAATCCCTCCAATGTCCCAAATCCCTCCAATGTCCCCACTGTCCCAAATGTCCCCAGTTCCTTCAATGTTCCCCAGTCCCCCAATGTCCCCGCTGTCCCCAGGGTGTCCCCGCTGTCCCCTCAGTGTCCCCATTGTCCCCAGGGTGTCCCCCGGTTCGAGGCCCGTGCCCGGGTGGTGGCAGCGCTGGCGCAGCGGGGGCTGCTCCGGGGGGTGCAGGACCACGCCATGACCCTGCCCCTCTGCAGGTACCGCTGTCCCCAAGTGTCCCCAAATGTCCCCTCAGTGTCCCCAGTGTGTCATCAGTGTCCTATCAGTGTCCCCAGTGTCCTCTCACACCATGATTCTGTCCCTCTGCTGGTATCACTGTCCCCAGTGCCCCCAATGTCCCCAGTGTCCCCAATGTCCCCACTGTCCCCACTGTCCCTGGTGTCCCTCAGCTGTCCCCAATGTCCCCATGTCCCCAGTGTCTCTCAGCTGTCCCTGGTGTCCCAATGTCCCCAGTGTCCCCAGTGTCCTCATGTCCCCAGTGTCCCCATGTCCCCAGTATCCCACTGTCCCCATGTCCCCATGTCCCAGGTGTCCCCAATGTCCCTTGTCCCAAATCCCTCCTCAGCTGTCCCTGGTGTCCCCAGTGTCCCCAATGTCCCCGGTGTCCCCAGTGTCCCCAGTGTCTCTCAGCTGTCCCGTGTCCCCAATGTCTCCAGTGTCCCCATGCCCCCAGTGCCCCCAATGTCCCCAGTGTCTCTCAGCTGTCCCCAGTGTCCCCATGTCCCCATGTCCCCGTGCCCCGGTGTCCCCGCAGCCGCTCGGGGGACGTGGTGGAGTTCCTGCTGAAGCGGCAGTGGTTCCTCAGCTGCGGGGACATGGCCCGGGGGGCGCTGCAGGTGAGGGGTGGACTCACCTGGGGTCACCTGGGGGGGTCACACACACCTGGGGTCACCTGGGGTCACCTGGGGGGGTCACACACACCTGGGGTCACCTGTCTGGAAGGTAGCAGCCCCACAGCCTGGGGACTGTTCTAATTATTTGTGGCTGTAGACAGGCCACTCAGAGGATAAGGAGTACAGTGAAATGGGCTGAGATGTTCTCTGAGCAGGTGCAGGATCAGGAGATAATGCAGTCATAGGTGGGTTTTGGTGGGCGTGGCTTCAGGTGTTGGGGGAGGTGTCTTAATATTGGGGGAGGGGCCCCAGGTGGTCTGGGTGTGTCCCAGGTGTTGGGGGCGGGGTTTTAGGTGTGGTGGGCGGGGCCTCAGCTCTTCTGGGTGTGTCCCAGGTCATGGAGGCGGGGCCTCAGGTGCTGGGGGTGGAGTTTCTGCTTTGGGGGCGGGGTCTCAGCACTGGTGGGCGTGTCTTTGGCATGGGGGAAGGGTTTTAACTGTGGTGGGTGTGTCCCATGGGTGGTGGGCGTGGTCTCAGCAGTGGTGGGCGTGTCCCATGGGTGGTGGGCGTGGTCTCAGCAGTGGTGGGCGTGTCCCATGGGTGGTGGGCGTGGTCTCAGCAGTGGTGGGCGTGCCCCAGGAGTTATGGGGGGGGCCTCAGATGTGGTGGGCGGGCTTTCAGCTTTTGGGGGCAGGGTCTCTTCTGGGCCTGTCCCAGCTGTTCTGGGCGTGGCTCCAGCTGTGGTGGGCGTGTCCCACCTGTGCTGGGCGTGGTCTCAGCAGTGGGGGGCGTGTCCCAGGTGTTATGGGTGGGGGCTCAGGTGCAGTGGGTGTGGTCTCACCTGTTTTGGGCGTGTCCCAGCTGTAGTGGGCGTGGTCTCTGCAGTGGTGGGCGTGTCCTAGCTGCGGTGGGCGTGTCCCAGCGGTGGTGGGCGTGGTCTCCGCAGTGGTGGGCGTGTCCCGGCGGTGGTGGGCGTGTCCCCAGTGTCCCCATTTCCCCTCCCCGCAGGGACTGGTGCCTGTCCCGCCAGCTCTGGTGGGGCCACCAGGTGCCCGCCTACCAGGTGCGGGGTGGCCCCGCCCCCGCGTGTCCCCAGGGGGGTCCCCGAGGTCCCCAGGGGGGTCCCCAGGGGGGTCCCCAGGAGGAGGGGCCGTGGTTCGTGGGGCGCAGCGAGGCCGAGGCGCGGGCGGCGGCCGCGGGGGCCCTGGGCTGCCCCCCCGAGGAGCTGCACCTGCAGCAAGGTGAGACCTGGGGGGTCTTGAAAAATTGGGGAAGGGTCTCAAAAAAATCCAGGGGAAATTCTGATTTTTGGGGGTTTTTTTGGTGTTTTTTGAGTTTTTTTGGTGCGTTTAAATGTGAAATTTGCCCCCAAGGTGAGACTGGGGAGCGGGGCCCAAAAAATCTGGGGGAAATTCTGAATGTTTTTTGGGTTTTTTAAGGGTTTGGGGGGTTTAAATGTGACATTGGGTGACATTTGGTGACCTTTGGTGACATTGGTGGCACTGCTGTCCCCAGACCCCGACGTGTTGGACACCTGGTTCTCCTCCGCCCTCTTCCCCTTTGCCGCCCTGGGCTGGCCTGAGCAGGTGAGACCCCTGTCCCCAACGTCCCCAAGTGTCCCCTCAGTGTCCCCTCAGTGTCCTCTCAGTGTCCCCAATGTCCTCTCAGTGTCCCCTCAGTGTCCTCTCAGTGTCCCCAATGTCCTCTCAGTGTCCCCAATGTCCCTCAGTGTCCCCAGACCCCAATCTTTGCCATTTTTACCCCAAATCTGTGCTGGTGACCTCCTGCTCTTCTGGGTGACCTGGACGGCCCTGCTGGGCCACCAGTGCCACCCCAGTGTCCCCTCAGTGTCCCCAATGTCCCCTCAGTGTCCCCAATGTCCCTTTGTGTCCCCAGAGCCCCGATCTGGCCCGTTTTTACCCCAATTCCGTGCTGGTGACGGGCAGTGACCTCCTGTTCTTCTGGGTGGCCCGGATGGCCATGCTGGGCCAGCAGCTCACGGGACAGCTGCCCTTCGCACAGGTCACTGTCCCCAGTGTCCCCAGATGTCCCCAAGGGTCCCCAGGGGTCCCCAAATATCCCCAAGGGTCCCAAAATGTCCCCAGGGGTCCCAAAATCCCCCAGTTCCCAGGGGTGTGGTTGGGTTTTGGGGTTTCTCGTTGTGTTCTTGATGTCCCCAAATGTCCCCAGGTGTCCCCAAGGGTCCCCAGATGTCCCCAAGTGTCCCCAGGGGTCCCCAAGGGTCCCAAAATGTCCCCAGGGGTCCCAAAATCCCCCAGTTCCCAGGGGTGTGGTTGGGTTTTGGGGTTTCTCGTTGTGTTCTTGATGTCCCCAAATGTCCCCAGGTGTCCCCAAGGGTCCCCAGATGTCCCCAAGTGTCCCCAGGGGTCCCCAAGGGTCCCAAAATGTCCCCAGGGGTCCCAAAATCCCCCAGTTCCCAGGGGTGTGGTTGGGTTTGGGGGTTTCTCGTTGTGTTCTTGGTGTCCCCAAGTGTCCCCAAAGGTCCCCAAGTGTCCCCTGTGTCCTCTGTCACCACTTTCCTGGGGGTCACTTGTCCCCATTTCGGTGTCCCCTGTCCCTTTGGGTGTCCCTGTCCCCACTTTTGGGGTCCCCATCCCCATTTTCAGTGCCCCCATCCCCATTTTGGGGTCCCCATCCCAATTTTGGGGTGCCCATCCCCATTTTGGGGTCCCCATCCCCATTTTTTGGGGCCCCCCTCCCAAATTTTGGGATCCCCATCCCCATTTTTGGGGTGCCCATCCCCATTTTGGGGTCCCCATCCCCATTTTGGGGTCCCCGTCCCCATTTTTGGGGTCCCCATCCCCATTTTTGGGGTCCCCATCCCAATTTTGGGGTCCCCATCCCCAATTTTGGGGTCCCCATCCCCATTTTGGGGTCCCCGTCCCCATTTTTGGGGTCCCCATCCCCATTTTTGGGGTCCCCATCCCAATTTTGGGGTCCCCATCCCCAATTTTGGGGTCCCCATCCCCATTTTGGGGCCCCCCTCCCCAATTTCGGGGTGCCAGTGTTGTCCCCCCCAGGTGCTGCTGCACTCCCTGGTGCGGGACCCCCAGGGCCGCAAGATGAGCAAATCCCTGGGGAACGTCATCGACCCCCGCGACGTCATCGGGGGGGCCACGCTGCAGGTGGGACCCCAAACCCCCACCCCAAAAACCCCTGAGCCCAAAAAAACCCAACCTCAAAAAGACAAATAAACCGTGACACCAAAAATCCTGACTCCAAAAACCCTGAAACCCCCTGAATCCAAAAAAAACCAACCCCAAAACCACAAAAAAAAACCTGACCCCAAAAACCCTGAAAACCCCCAGACCCCAAAAACCCTGACCCCAGAAACCCTGAAACCCCGAGCCCAAAAAAACCCAACCCCAAAACCACAAAAAAAAACCTGACCCCAAAAACCCTGAAAACCCCCAGACCCCAAAAACCCTGACCCCAGAAACCCTGAAACCCCGAGCCCAAAAAAACCCAACCCCAAAACCACAAAAAACCCCTACACCCAAAAAACCCGATCCCAAAAAAGACCCAACCTCAAAAACACAAAGAAACCCAGACCCCAGAAACCCTGAAACCCCCCTGACCCCAAAAAAACCCCGACCCCAAAAACCCTGATCCCAGAAACCCTGAAAACCCCTGACCCCAAAAAAACCCCGACCCCAAAAACCCTGATCCCAGAAACCCTGAAAACCCCTGACCCCAAAAATCCCAACCTCAAAAACACAAAAAACCCAGACCCCAAAAACCCTGAAAACCCCCAGACCTGAAAAACCCTCTGACCCCAAAAACCCTGAAAACCCCCAGACCTGAAAAACCCTCTGACCCCAAAAACCCTGAAAACCCCCAGACCCAAAAAAACCCAACCCCAAAAACCCTTGAAACACCCTGACCCAAAAAAATCCCACCCCAGGAACCCTAAAAAAACCCCAACCCCAAAACCCTGACCCCAAAAACCCTGAAAACCCCCAGACCCCAAAAACCCCTGACCCAAAAAAAATCACACCCAAAAAACCCCACACCCAAAAAAACCCCAACCCCAAAATCCTCAAAACCCCCAGACCCCGAAAACCCCAAAAAAAACCCCCAAAATCTCCAGGCCTGGAGCAGTTCTGGGGTCATTTTTGGGGTTTTGGGGTCATTTTGGGGTTTTGGGGATGATTTCAGGGAAATTTTGGGTTTATTTTGGGCTGGTTTGGGGGTGATTTTGGGGTTTATTTTGGGGTGATTTTTGGGTTTATTTTGGGGGTGATTTTGGGGTTTATTTTGGGCTGATTTTGGGTTTATTTTGGGGTTGATTTGGGGTTTATTTTGGGGCTGATTTGGGGTTTATTTTGGGGTTTTGCTCCCCCAGGAGCTGCAGGAGAAGCTCCAGACCCGGACCCTGGACCCACAGGAGCTGCAGGCAGCCCAGGAGGGGCAGGTGGGACCCCAAAACCCCCCAGGACCCCCCAAAATCCCCCCAAATCCACCCAGGGACCCCAAAATCACCCCTGAATTCCACCTGGCCCTGAGCACCCGCAACGCCCACGGTGAGACCCCCGCCCCAAATACCCCAAAATCCCACTGGGACCCCCCCCTAAATCACCCCAAAATCCCTCTGGGACCCCCTCCCAAATTCCTCTGAACCCCACAGGGACCCCCCAAATCACCCCCGGGACCCCCCAAATCCCCCAGGAACCCCCAAATCTCCCTTGGACCCCGCCAGGGTGGGCACTGGGAGGAGCTTTGGGGTACTGGGGTGGGTCTGGGGGTTTTGGGGGGTTCTGGGGGGGTCCTGGTGCCCCCCCTGACCCCAACGCCCCCCCCAGGCCCCGAAATCCGTGTGGGCGTGGCCTCGGTGCTGACTCAGCGCCGCTTCTGCAACAAAATCTGGAACGCGGTGGGCTTCGTGCTGAGGGCCCTGCAGGGGGAGAGGGACCCCCCGAAGCCCCCCGAGGAGGTAACGGGGACCCCGAAACCCCAGGGACCCCGAAAACACCCCAGGGACCCCAAAAACACCCCAGGGACCCCAAAAACACCCCCAGGGACCACAAAAACACCCCCTGAAAACCCAAAAAAGCCCCCCTAAACCAGCCCCTGAAACCCCAGGGACCCCCCAAAGCCCCCCGAGGAGGGAACGGGGACCCCGAAACCCCAGGGACCCCGAAAACACCCCAGGGACCCCAAAAACACCCCCAGGGACCACAAAAACACCCCCTGAAAACCCAAAAAAGCCCCCCTAAACCAGCCCCTGAAACCCCAGGGACCCCCCAAAGCCCCCCGAGGAGGGAACGGGGACCCCGAAACCCCAGGGACCCCGAAAACACCCCAGGGACCCCAAAAACACCCCAGGGACCCCAAAAACACCCCCAGGGACCACAAAAACACCCCCTGAAAACCCAAAAAAGCCCCCCTAAACCAGCCCCTGAAACCCCAGGGACCCCCCAAAGCCCCCCGAGGAGGTAATGGGAACCCCGAAACCCCGGGGACCCCAAAAACACCCCCAGGGACCACAAAAACACCCCCTGAAAACCCAAAAAAGCCCCCCTAAAACAGCCCCTGAAACCCCAGGGACCCCCCAAAGCCCCCCGAGGAGGTAACGGGGACCCCGAAACCCCAAAAACAGCCCCTGAAACCCAAGAAACCTCTGGAACTCCCAGGGACCCCCAAAGCCCCCCGAGGAGGTAACGGGGACCCCGAAACCCCAAAAACAGCCCCTGAAACCCAAGAAACCTCTGGAACTCCCAGGGACCCCCAAAGCCCCCCGAGGAGGTAACGGGGACCCCGAAACCCCAGGGACCCCAAAAACACCCCAGGGACCCCAAAAAGACCCCAGGGACCCTAAAAACACCTCCTGAAAACCCAAAACCACCTTCTGAAACCCCAGGGACCCCCCAAAGCCCCCCGAGGAGGTAACGGGGACCCCGAAACCCCAGGGACCCCAAAAACACCCCCAGGGACCCCCAAAAAACCCCCTGAAACCCCATAAACACCCCTGGAACACTCAGGGACCCCGAAACCCCCCTGAGGAGGTAACGGGGACCCCGAAACCCCAAGGACCCCAAAAACAGCCCCAGGGACCCCCAAAAACACACCCAGGGACCCCAAAAACACCCCCTGGAAACCCAAAAAAACCCCCTGGAAACCCCAAAACCAGCCCCTGAAACCCCAGGGACCCCCAAAACCCCCCTGAGGAGGTAATGGGGACCCCAAAAATAGCCCCTGGAAGCCCCCAGGGACCCCCAGACTCCTCCGTGTCCCCAATCCCAGGTGGTCTTTGAACCCCTGGCTGCTCCCAGCCCCCTCCCCAGTCCCAGATGACCCCAAATCCCCGTTTTTCACCCCAATCCAGGTGGTCTCCCTGGCCCCCCTGGACCGCTGGCTGCTGGCCCCGCTCTGAGCCCCCTCCCCAGTCCCAGATTGTCCCAATTTCCTGTTTTTTTACCCCAATTTAGGTGGTCCCGCTGGCCCCCCTGGACCGCTGGCTGCTGGCCCACCTGGCCGCGGCCGTGGCCGAGTGTGGCCGCAGGATGGAGGCGCTGGAGGTGCAGGGCGCCGTGGCCGCCGTGCAGAGCTTCTGGCTGCGCAGCTTCTGCGACGTCTACCTGGTACGGAGCCCCGGAAACGGGCTCCTGGAAAACGGGAAATCCTAAAAAAGGGGGATCCTGAAAAAGGGGAATCCTGAAAAAGGGGAATAGCGAAAAATGGGAAATCCTAAAAAAGGGGAATTCTGAAAAATGGGAAACCTGAAAAAGGGGGATCCTGAAAAAGGGGAATCCTGGAAAATGGGAATCCTGGGAAAGGGGAATCACGAAAAACGGGAAATCCTAAAAAAGGGGGATCCTGAAAAATGGGAATCCTGAAAAGGGGGATCCTGAAAAATGGGAATCCTGAAAAAGGGGGATCCTGAAAAATGGGAATCCTAAAAAATGGGAATCCTGGGAAAGGGGGATCGTGAAAAACGGGAAATCCTAAAAAAGAGGAATTCTGAAAAATGGGAATCCTAAAAACAGGAATCCTAAAAAATGGGGATCTTGAAAAATGGGAATCCTGAAAAAGGGGGATCCTGAAAAATGGGAATCCTAAAAAATGGGAATCCTGGGAAAGGGGGAATCCTGGAAAATGGGAATCCTGGGAAAGGGGAATCACGAAAAACGGGAAATCCTAAAAAAGGGGGATCCTGAAAAATGGGAATCCTGAAAAGGGGGATCCTGAAAAATGGGAATCCTGAAAAAGGGGGATCCTGAAAAATGGGAATCCTAAAAAATGGGAATCCTGGGAAAGGGGGATCGTGAAAAACGGGAAATCCTAAAAAAGAGGAATTCTGAAAAATGGGAATCCTAAAAACAGGAATCCTAAAAAATGGGGATCTTGAAAAATGGGAATCCTGAAAAAGGGGGATCGCAAAAAAAACGGGAAATCCTAAAAAAGGGGAATTCCTGAAAAAGGGGAATTCTGAAAAACGGGAAATCCTGAAAAAATGGGAATTCCTAAAAAATGGGAATTCCTAAAAAATGGGAACCCTGAAAACGGGAATCCTGGAAAGGGGAATCCTGGAAAACAGGAATCCTAAAAAATGGGAATCGTGAAAAATGGGAAATCCTAAGAAATGGGATCCTGAAAAATGGGAATTCTGAATAATGGGAATTCCAAAAAACAGGAATTTTAAAAAATGGGCACCCCAAAAATGGGAATCCTGAAAAGGGGGAATCCTGAAAAACGGGAATTCCTGAAAAAGGGGAATTCTGAAAAACGGGAATCCTGAAAAGGGGGAATTCCTGAAAAAGGGCAATCCTGAAAAAGGGAATCCTGTAAAAGGGGAATCCTGAAAAATGGGAATCCCTAAAAACCAGGAAATCCTAAAAAACAGGCATCCCAAAAACGGGAAATCCTGAAAAACAGGAATCTTGAAAAATGGGAATCCTGTAAAACGGGAATCCTAAAAAATGGGAATTCCTGAAAAACGGCCAAGGTGTCCCTGTTGTCCCCATTTCATGGTTCCTGTCCCAATTTTGGGATTTCTGTCCCCAAACCCCTGTCCCTCTCCCCAGGAGGTGGCCAAGGGGTCCCTGCTGTCCCCATTTCATGGTTCCTGTCCCCATTTTGTGGTTCCTGTCCCCATTCTGGGATTTCTGCCCCCATTTCATGGTTCCTGTCCCCATTTTGGGATTTCTGCCCCAATTCCGTGGTTCCTGCCCCCATTCCGTGGTTCCTGTCCCCATTTTGGGATTTCTGCCCCCATTCCGTGTCCCCGTCCCCAGGAGGTGGCCAAGGGGTCCCTGCGGTGCCCATTTCAGGATTTCTTTCCCCATTTTGGGATTTCTGCCCCCATTTCATGGTCCCTGTCCCCAGGAGGTGGCCAAGGGGTCCCTGCTGTCCCCATTTTGTGGTTCCTGTCCCCATTCTGGGATTTCTGCCCCCATTCCGTGGTTCCTGTCCCCATTTTGGGATTTCTGCCCCAATTCCGTGGTTCCTGCCCCCATTCCGTGGTTCCTGTCCCCATTTTGGGATTTCTGCCCCCATTCCGTGTCCCCGTCCCCAGGAGGTGGCCAAGGGGTCCCTGCAGTGCCCATTTTGGGGTTCCTGTCCCCATTTCAGGATTTCTTTCCCCATTTCAGTCACCTCTCCCCTATTCTGGGATTTCTGTCCCCATTTTGGGATTTCTTTTCCCAATTCCGTGGTTCCTGTCCCCATTCCGTGGTTCCTGTCCCCAGGAGGTGGCCAAGGGGTCCCTGCAGTGCCCATTTTGGGGTTCCTGTCCCCATTTCAGGATTTCTTTCCCCATTTTGGGATTTCTGCCCCCATTTCATGGTTCCTGTCCCCAGGAGGTGGCCAAGGGGTCCCTGCTGTCCCCATTTCAGGACTTCTTTCCCCATTTTGGGATTTCTGTCCCCAAACCCCTGTCCCTGTCCCCAGGAGGTTGCCAAGGGGTCCCTGCAGTGCCCATTTTGGGGTTCCTGTCCCCATTTCAGGATTTCTTTCCCCATTTTGGGATTTCTGTCCCCAAACCCCTGTCCCTGTCCCCAGGAGGTGGCCAAGGGGTCCCTGCGGTGCCCATTTCAGGATTTCTTTCCCCATTTTGGGATTTCTGCCCCCATTTCATGGTCCCTGTCCCCAGGAGGTGGCCAAGGGGTCCCTGCAGTGCCCATTTTGGGGTTCCTGTCCCCATTTCAGGATTTCTTTCCCCATTTTGGGATTTCTGTCCCCAAACCCCTGTCCCTGTCCCCAGGAGGTGGCCAAGGGGTCCCTGCTGTCCCCATTTCATGGTTCCTGTCCCCATTTTGTGGTTCCTGTCCCCATTCTGGGATTTCTGCCCCCATTTCATGGTCCCTGTCCCCAGGAGGTGGCCAAGGGGTCCCTGCTGTCCCCATTTCATGGTTCCTGTCCCCATTTTGTGGTTCCTGTCCCCATTCTGGGATTTCTGCCCCCATTTCATGGTCCCTGTCCCCAGGAGGTGGCCAAGGGGTCCCTGCTGTCCCCATTTCATGGTTCCTGTCCCCATTTTGTGGTTCCTGTCCCCATTCTGGGATTTCTGCCCCCATTTCATGGTTCCTGTCCCCATTTTGGGATTTCTGCCCCAATTCCGTGGTTCCTGCCCCCATTCCGTGGTTCCTGTCCCCAGGAGGTGGCCAAGGGGTCCCTGCTGTCCCCATTTCAGGATTTCTTTCCCCATTCTGGGATTTCTTTTCCCAATTCCGTGTCCCTGTCCCCAGGAGGTGGCCAAGGGGTCGCTGCGGTGCCCGGAGCTGCGGGCCGGCGCCCTGGCCACGCTGGTGGCCGCGGCCGAGCTGGGGCTGCGCCTCCTGGCCCCCTTCGCCCCCTTCGTGGCCGAGGAGCTCTGGCAGCGCCTGCCCAGGGGGGGGGTTTGGGGGATCCCTGGTGGGTTCCTTGGGTGGGTTTTGGGGTTCGTGGGGTTGTTTGGGTGGTTTTGGGGGTTCCTGGGGGGTTCCTCTGTGGTTTTTGAGGTTCCTGGGAAGGTTTTGGGTTGGTTTTGGGGTTCCTGGAGGGGTCTCTGAGTGGCTTTGGGGGTTCCTGGGGGGTTCCTGTGTGGTTTTTGGGGTTCCCGGGAGGGTTTTGGGTGGTTTTTGGGGTTCCTGGGGGGTCCCTGGGTGGTTTTTGGGGTTCCCATGGGGGTCTCTGTGTAGATTTTGGGGTTCCTGGGGGGGGTCCCTGTGTGGATTTTGGAGTTCCTTGAGTGGTTTTTGGGGTTCCCGGGAGGGTTTTGGGTGGTTTTGGGGTTCCCGGGGGGTTCCTTGTGTGGTTTTTGGGGTTCCCTGGGTGGATTTTGGGGTTCCCGGGGGGTTCCTGGGTGGTTTTTGGGGTTCCCGGGGGTTTCCTGTGTGGTTTTTGGGGTTCCCGGGGGTTTCCTGTGTGGTTTTTGGGGTTCCCGGGGGTCTCAGCCCCGTGCCCCCCCAGGCGCGCTGGCGCAGCCCCGAGCTGGAGGCGCAGGTGGCGGCCATGCTGGAGCTGGTCCGGGCCGTGCGGGGGCTGCGCGAGGCCCTGCGGCTCGGGGGGGCCGCGCGACCCCCAGGTGAGACCCGGGGGGGGCAGGTGGGGTGGGGGGACTGCAAATCCCAGCATGCCTTGGGGGGAGCAAAGATGGCCGACCAGACATGGACTACAAATCCCAGCATGCCTCAGGGGGGTTAAAATGGCTGATCAGACACGGACTACAAGTCCCAGCATGCTCTGGGGGAGATAAAATGGCCAATTAGAAATAAACTACAAATCCCAGCATGCCTTGGGGGAGCAAAGATGGCTGATTGGACCTGGACTACGAGTCCCAGCATGCCTTGGGGGAGCCAAAATGGCTGATCAGACACGGACTGCAAATCCCAGCATGCTTTGGGGGGAGCAAAGATGTCAAATTGTACCTGGACTACAAATCCCAGAATGCTCTGGGGGAGTTAAAATGGCCAATTAGACATGGATTGCAAATCCCAGCATGCTTTGGGGGAGACAAAATGGCTGACCAGGTGCGGACTACAAATCCCAGCATGCTTTGAGGGAGACAAAATGGCTGCTGTGGGCGGGAACCACAAATCCCAGCATGCTTTGCGGGCTGTCGGTATCCCAGCATGCCCCACCCTGCCCCAAGATGGCGCCCCGCACGGTGGCAGCCATGTTGTGGGCGTGGTTTCCCCGCAGTGCTGGTGCAGGGCCCGGAGCTGGCTCACGATTGGCTGGAGCAGCTCGGCCCCGCCTTCCGGACGCTCTCGGGGGCGGGGCCTGTGCAGCTCCTCCCCCCGGGGGCGGAGCCGGGGCCGGGCTGGGCGGGGGCTCCCGCGGCTTCCGGAACCTTCGTGCACCTGAGCCTGCAGGTGAGGGCGGGGCCGGCCGGGGGGGCCGGCTTGGGGGGGTTNTTTATAAATCAAAATAAAATAAAAAAAATAAAATAAAATAATTTGAGTTTATTAATAAATAAAATAAAATTTATTCATAAAGCAAAATAAAATGCAATAAAATGGTCTGGGTTTATTAATAGATAAAATCAAATTTATAAATTAAAATAAAATAATCTGGGTTTAAAAATATGTAATTTTTTAAAATATTAATTTAATTTTATTTCATTTAATGAGGTTGCCATTAACGAAGTTGTGACCTCCTTAGGGGGCGGGGTTTAAGAAAAGGGGCGGGGCTTTAGAGGGGGAGGGGCCGCATCGCTCAGGCCCCGCCCCCTCGGGCTCGGGCTCGGAGCTGCCGAGACCCAAAACCCCAAAAAACCCAAATTTGGGTCAGGGAGCCCCAGATCGGCCCCGGGAGCCCCGGGGGACGGCGGCGGCACCCGCGGCCACCTCAGGTACCCGTGTGTCATCTGTCACCTGTGTGTCACCTGAATGTCATCTGTGTCATCTGTGTCACCTGTGTCACCCGTGGCCACCTCAGGTACCTCTGTCACCTGTCACCTGTGTGTCACCTGTGTGTCACCTGTGTGTCACCTCTGTCACCTGCGGCCACCTCAGGTACGTGAGTGTCATCTGTCACCTGTGTGTCACCTGTGTGTCATCTGTGTGTCACCTGTGTCACCTGAATGTCATCTGTGTCATCTGTCACCTATGTCACCTGTGTGTCACCTGTGTCACCTGTGTCATCTGTGTGTCACCTGTCACCTGTGTCACCTGTGTCACCTGTGCCACCTGTCACCTGTGTCACCCGTGGCCACCTCAGGTACCTCTGTCACCTGTCACCTGTGTGTCACCTGTGTGTCACCTGAATGTCATCTGTGTGTCACCTGTGTCATGTGTGTCACCCGCGGCCACCTCAGGTACCCGTGTGTCATCTGTGTGTCACCTGTGTCACCTGTGTCATGTGTGTCACCTGTGTGTCACCCGCGGCCACCTCAGGTACGTGAGTGTCACCTGTGTGTCACTTGTGCGTCATCTGTGTGTTATCTGTGTGTCACCTGTGTCACCTGAATGTCATCTGTGTGTCACCTGTCACCTGTGTCACCTGTGTCACCTGTGCCACCTGTCACCTGTGTCACCCACGGCCACCTCAGGTACCTCTGTCACTTCTGTGTCACCTGAATGTCACCTGTACCACCTCTGTGTCATGTGTGTGTCACCTGTGTGTCACCTGTGTGTCACTTGTGTGCCACCTGAATGTCAGTTGAATGTCACCTCTGTGTCACCTGTGTGTCACTTCTGTCACCTCTGTGTCACCTGTGTCACCTCTGTGTCACCTGAATGTCATCTGTCACCTGTGTGTCACCTGTGTCACCTGTATGTCACCTGTCACCTGTGTCACCTGTGTGTCACTTCTGTCACCTCTGTGTCACCTGTGTCACCTGAATGTGACCTGTGTCACCCATCACCTGTGTCACTTCTGTGTCATCTGTGTCACCTGTGCCACCTGTGTGTCCCTCCCTGTGTCCCCAAGCCCTGACGTGTCCCCTCCCCCTGACGTCCCCTGTGTCCCCTCTGTCCCCAGGTCCCCCCATGGCCGAGGCAGCCACCTCAGGTCCCCTCTGTGTCACCTGTGCCACCTGTGTGTCCCTCCCTGTGTCCCCTCCCCCTGACGTCCCCTGTGTCCCCTCTGTCCCCAGGTCCCCCCATGGCCGAGGGCGGCCCCTCCCCCCGTGTCCCCCCCGGGGAGGTGACACAGCCGGGGGGTGGCACCGGGGGTGGCACTGTCACCGTCACCCCCTGGGCCAGCGGCATCACCATCACCGTCACCGCAGCGCCCGCCCCGGAGGAGCCCGGGGACACTGAGGACATTGGGGACATCGGGGACACTGAGGACATCGGGGACACCGGGGACACCGAGGACATCGGGGACATCAAAGGCATTGGGGACATTGGGGACATCGGGGACACTGAGGACATCGGGGACACCGGGGACACCGAGGACATCGGGGACATCAAAGGCATTGGGGACATTGGGGACATCAAGAACCTTGGGGACACTGAGGAACTTGGGGACCTTGGGAACATCAAAGGCACCAAGAACCTTGGGGACACTGGGGACATTGGGGACATCAAGAACCTTGGGGACACTGAGGAACTTGGGGACCTTGGGAACATCAAAGGCACCAAGAACCTTGGGGACACTGGGGACATTGGGGACATCAAGAACCTTGGGGACATTGGGGACATCAAAGGCACCAAGGACCTTGGGGACACGGGGGACTTTGGGGACATGGAAGGCATTGAGGACATTGGGGACACTGGGGACATCAAGAGCCTTGGGGACATCGGGGACATTGGGGACATCAAGAACCTTGGGGACATTGGGGACATCAAAGGCATCAAGGACCTTGGGGACATTGGGGACATTGGGGACATCAAGAGCCTTGGGGACATTGGGGACATCAAAGGCATCAAGGACCTTGGGGACACGGGGGACTTTGGGGACATGGAAGGCATTGAGGACATTGGGGACACTGGGGACATCAAGAGCCTTGGGCATGTTGGGGACATCAAAAGCACTGGGGACATTGGGGACACCAGGAACACTGGGGACACTGGGGACGTTGGGGACATCACGGTCACCACGGATGGAGGACAGGGCGAGGTCCCCATCCTGTGTGACAAGGACATTGGGGACATTGTTGGGGACATTGGGGACACCAAGAACCTCGGGGACATTGGGGACATCAAAGGCACCGAGGACACTGGGGACATTGGGGACATCGGGGACATTGGGGACATCAAGAACCTTGGGGACATCGGGGACACCAAGAACCTCGGGGACATCGGGGACACCAAGAACCTCGGGGACATTGGGGATATCAGAGACACTGGGGACACCAGGAACATTGGGGACATTGGGGACATCACTGTCACCGCGGATGGAGGACAGGGTGGTGTCCCCATCCCATGTGACAAGGACACCGGGGACATTGGGGACGTTGGGGACATTGGGGACAGGGCTGTCCCCGTGCTGAGGGACATCAGGGATGTCACTGTCCCGAGGGACACTGGGGACAGGGACAGTGGGGACAGGGACGTGCCAAACCTTGGGGACAGAGGTGCCACCACCCCGAGGGACATCGGTGACAGGGACAGTGGGGACACTGGGGACAGGGACATCGGGGACAGGGCTGTCACCATCCCTTGGGACATTTGGGACAGCGGTGTCCCTGCTCCTGGGGACAGGGACACTGGGAACTTTGGGGACAGGGACATTGGGGACATTGGGGACTTTGGGGACGTGCCAAACCTTGGGGACAAGGCTGTCCCCACCCCAAGGGACATCGGACACATTGGGGACATCGGGGACATCGGGGACAGGGACGTGCCAAACCTTGGGGACAAGGGTGGCGGTGACAGCGGTGTCACCACCCTTGGGGACAGGGGGGACATCGGGGAGAGGGACACTGGGGACAGCAGGGACACTGGGGACATTGGGGACAGGAGCTTTGGGGACATCAATGTCCTGGCCTGCAGGGACCTTGGGGACAGCGATGTCACCACCCCAGGGGACAGCAGGGACAGGGGTGGCCCCAGGGGTGAGGACGGAGGGGACAGCGGTGTCACCGCCCTGGGGGACAGTGGGGACACCGAGGGGTTTGGGGACAGTGACGTCACCGCTCTGAGGGACCTTGGGGACATTGGGGACACTGGGGACACTGGGGACAGGGACAGCGGGGACAGGGACCTTGGGGACAGCGATGTCAGCACCCTGAGGAGTGCTGGGGATGGGGATTTTGGGGACACTGGGGACACTGGGGACACTGGGGACAGTGACGTCACAGCCCTGAAGGACATTCAGGGTTTTGGGGACAGCGGTGTCACCACCCCTGGGGACCTTGGGGACACTGGGGACAGTGACGTCACCTGTCTGAGGGACACTGGGGACCTTGGGGACGTTGGGGACATTGGGGATGGTGACGTCACTGCCCCGGGGGACATTCCGGCTTTTGGGGACAGCGACGTCACCGCTCTGAGGGACCTTGGGGACCTTGGGGACAGCGATGTCATCACCCCCAGAGGTGCTGGGGACGGGGATTTTGGGGCCCTGGTGGCCGTGGCGTGCCGGGCCGGCGGCATCACCATCACCGTGGTGGCCCCGCCCCCGGAGGAGGAGGAGGCCCCCGATGATGACGTCATCGCCTATGACGTCACCGCGGCTGGGGAGGGCGGTGACGTCACAGAGGGGAGGGGCAGCCCCTCCCCCCCACCCAGCGGTGACATCACGGCCGAGGGTGACGTCACTGCTGATGTCACCGGTGGTGATGACGTCACTTCCTCTGCCCCGGAGCCAACCCTCGCTGGTGACGTCATCGCCGGCAGTGACGTCATCGCCTCCCACCCCGGGGGTGGCATCGCCGATGACGTCACCACATCCAGGAGTGACATCGCCGGTGATGTCATCGCCCCCGGGTGTGACCTCATCGATGACATCGCCGTCAGCCGTGACCTCACCGATGACGTCACCACCGAGAGCGGCTTCCCGCGGGACCTGGATGACGTCATCGATGACGTCATCACCCTGCACGACCTCACCGATGACGTCATCATCCCTGAGAGCGACGGCACCGATGACATCATCGAGTGTGGCTTCCCTGATGACGTCATCGCCTGGGGTGAGGTCACAGCCCCGCCCAGCAGTGACGTCATCGATGGCGCCATTGGTGTAGAGGCCGGCATTGATGACGTCATCGGCATCTGCCACGCCCCTCCCCTTCCCGGTGATGACGTCATCGATGACGTCATCCCTGGCGGGCATCTCCTCGATGACATCACCCACCGAGACGCCCTCACCGATGACGTCACCGAGAGTGACAATGACGTCACCTCCCCCGGGCTGGGCCCACTCCCCGCCGATGACGTCATCACCGCCGATGACGTCACTTCCTCCCTGCTGGGTGACGTCACCGGGGACCTCGACGCTGCCTGGGACGACCTCGCTGATGACGTCACCGCCGATGACGTCACGGCCGACGATGACGTCACGCCCTTCCTCCCCTTGGACTGCCCCCCGGGCCCCGAGGACATCGACGATGACGTCACCGATGACGTCACGCCGGGGGCGGAGCAGCCGCTCCTCGGCACCGCCCCCTTCGGCCGCCGCCATGACGCCGGCGATGACGTCAGCGATGACATCACCGAGGACGCGCCCCGAGGGGGCGGGGCAGGTGAGGGGGCGGGGCCAAAGGGGCGGCGTCAAGGTTTTCATCATCAGCTCGGCCGCGCTGGCGGTGCCGCCCCCCGAGGCCTTCCCGTGACCCAAAATGCCCAAAATTCACCCCAAAATCCACCCAAAATTCCAATAAATCCGATTAAATAATCATGACTGTGTCTGGGCCCTTCTTGTGATCCCAAAATCGCCAAAATTCACCCCAAAATCCACCCAAAATTCCAATAAATCCGATTAAATAATCATGACTGTGTCTGGGCCCTTCTTGTGATCCCAAAATCGCCAAAATTCACCCCAAAATCCACCCAAAATTCCAATAAATCCGATTAAATAATCATGACTGTGTCTGGGCCCTTCTTGTGATCCCAAAATCGCCAAAATTCACCCCAAAATCCACCCAAAATTCCAATAAATCTGATTAAATAATCCTGAATGTGTCTGGGTATTTCTGGGACCCCAAAATCACCAAAATCTCCCCAAATTCCCCCAAATTCCAATCCCACCCCCCAGGGTCGGGGCCACCCCGGGCGGTGACAGCGGCGAGTCCGGGCCTGTCCCTGCCTTGGGGACACCTGGGGACATTGGGGACACTGGGGACACTGGGGACAGGTCCTGGGCTTGTCACCAGAGCCCTGGGGACACTGGGGACACTTGGGGACACAGCCCCAAGGTGCCACCAGCCTGGGGACATTGGGGACATTGGGAACCTTGGGGACACTGGGGACACTGGGGACAGGTCCTGGGCTTGTCACCAGAGCCCTGGGGACACTGGGGACACTTGGGGACATTGAGGACACAGCTTGGGCTTGTCACCACCTTGGGGACTTTGGGGACATCAGAGACACAGCCCTGAGGTGCCACCAGACTGGGGACTTTGGGGACACCTGGGGACAACTGGGGACACAGCCTGGGCTTGTCACCACCTTGGGGACACCTGGGGACACTGGGGACACAGCCCTGAGGTGCCACCATCCTGGGGACCTTGGGGACATTGGGGACACTGGGGACAGGTCCTGGACTTGTCACCAGTGCCTTGGGGACATTGGGGACATCGGGGACATTGAGGACACAGCCCAGACTTGTCCCCACCTTGGGGACCTTGGGGACACTGAGGACACAGCCCCAAAGTGCCACCACCTTGGGGACACTGGGGACAGAGCCCGGACTTGTCCCCAACACCTTGGGGGCATCAAGGACACAGCCCCGAGGTGCCACCAACCTGGGGACGTTGGGGACAGACCCTGGACTTGTCCCTGCCTTGGGGACATTGGGGACCTTGGGGACACAGCCCCAAAGTGCCACCGCCTTGGCACCTGGGGACAGAGCCCCGAGGTGCCACCAGCCTGGGGACGTTGGGGACAGACCCTGGACTTGTCCCTGCCTTGGGGACATTGGGGACCTTGGGGACACAGCCCCAAAGTGCCACCACCCTGGGGACATCTGAGGACACAGCCCCGAGGTGCCACAAGCCTGGGGACCTTGGGGACCTTGGGGACACCTGGGGACCTTGGGGACACTGGGGACACAGCCCAGAAGTGCCACCACCTTGGGGACACTGGGGACATTGGGAACCTTGGGGACATCTGGGGACACTGGGGACACTGGGGACAGGTCCTGGGCTTGTCACCACCTTGGGGACATTGGGGACACAACCCCAAGGTGCCACCAGACTGGGGACCTTGGGGACACCTGGGGACAGAGCCCCGAGGTGCCACCAGCCTGGGGACGTTGGGGACAGACCCTGGACTTGTCCCTGCCTTGGGGACATTGGGGACCTTGGGGACACAGCCCCAAAGTGCCACAAGCCTGGGGACCTTGGGGACACAGCCCGGACTTGTCCCCGCCGCCCTGGGGACATTGGGGACATTGAGGTGCCAGCCCGGACTTGTCACCGGTCAGGGGCAGTGGCTCCGGACAATGGGCCATTGTCCCCAAGGTGCCACCAGGGGGTGTGGGGACACCTGGAGGCTTTGGAGACACCTGGGGGGGGTTGGGGACACCTGGGGGGGGTTGGGCTCCTGCAAACTGACATCGACATTGGGGACATCAGGGGGACATGGGGACAGTGGGGGGACATGGGGACAGTGGAGGGACATTGGGGACAATGGGGACATTAATGGGGACATTGGGGACAATGGGGGGATTGGGGGGATTGGGGACATTGGGGACAGTGGTGGGGTCTGGGGACATCCGGGGGTTTTGGGGACATTGGGAACATTAGGGGTGGCCTTGGGGACATTGAGGGGACATTGTGGGGGGGTCTGGAGACATTGGGGACATCGGGGGATTGGGGGACACTGGGGACAGTGGGGACACTGAGGATATTGGGGACATTGAGGGGGGATTTGGGGACATTTGGGGACACTGAGGGGACAAAGCCCCACACGAGGGGACATCGGGGACACGGTGGCGGGATGGGGGGGGGGACACCGCGTGTCGCTGTCCCCATCCGTGTCCCCTCCCCCCCCAGGCCCCGCCCAGCCCCTCCCTGTCCCCGAGCCTTGGGGACAGGCGGTGACGTCACTGCTGCAGTCGCTGCTGCCCGCGGGGACAGCGCGGGGACAGGAGGGGACACGGCCGCAGGGCCTGGGGACGTGGCTGCAGGGCTTGGGGACGTGGCTGCAGCGACACCCGCCGCGTCCCCAGGGGCCGCGGGGACCTTGGGGACATCCCCGAGCCCCGGCGCGTCCCCAGGGAGCGGGGACGTGTCCCCAGGAGGAGGGGACAGCAGCGGGGACACGGCCCCAGGGACAGGGGACAGCGGGGACATGGCCCCAGGGACAGGGGACAGCGGGGACAGGTCACCAAGGGCCACCCCTGCCTGTCCTGGGGCAGGGGACACGTCCCCAAGGAGCGGGGACAGCGGGGACATGGCCCCAGGGACACGGGCCAGGTCCCCAAGTGCCACCTCTGCCTGTCCCGGGACAGGGGACAGGTCCCCAAGGAGTGGGGACACGTCCCCAAGTGCCACCTCTGCCTGTCCCGGGACAGGGGACAGCGGGGACATGGCCCCAGGGACACGGGCCAGGTCCCCAAGTGCCACCTCTGCACCTCCTGGGACAGGGGACACGTCCCCAAGGAGCAGGGACAGGTCCCCAAGTGCCACCCGTGCCTGTCCCCGGTCCCCAAGGGCCACCCGTGGCTGTCCCGGGGCTGGGGACAGGTCCCCGGGAGGAGGGGACGGGTCCCCGAGGGGAGGGGACAATCCCCCAGTGGCCGCTGCCACCCGCCCCGGCACAGGGGACAGGTCCCCGAGGGGAGGGGACCCGGCAGGGGTGGCCGAGGGTGGCACCGCTCGGCGACATCGGGAGCCGCGCCACGTCCGGGGACAGCGAGGACAGCGCCAGCCGCGGTGAGGGGACAGCAGGGGACAGCAGGGGACACGGGAGGGACACGGGACACGGGAGGGGACACGGGAGGGGACAGGGAACACGGGAGGGGACACGGGAGGGACACGGGAGGGACACGGCACACGGGACACGGGACACGGGAGGGGACAGGGAACACGGGAGGGGACAGGGGACACTCGGAGGGGACCCCCCGTCCAGCGCTGTCCCTCTCCGTGTCCCCTCCGCAGGTTGGGGACACTCGGAGGAGCTGCGGCGGCCGCTGTAGCGCCGGGGATGTCGCCGTGTCGCCGTGGCCGTGTCACCGTGGCCGTGTCACTGTCCCCGTGTCACTGTCGCCGCGGCCGCCTGGTGCCACCAGGACCCTGTCACCTGTCCCCGCCCTGTCACCGTGTCCCAATCCCGATGTCCCCTCCCTGTCACCTGTCCCCGCCCTGTCCCCGTGTCCCCTCCCTGTCCCCTCCCTGTCCCCTCGCTGTCCCCGTGTCCCCAATAAAGGTGAAGCAGCAGCGGCCCCGCCCTCCTCCCTTGGGGACAGGGGGGTGGTGGCACTTGGTGGCACTTGGTGGCACTTGGTGGCACTTGGTGGCACTTGGTGGCACTTGGTGGCTTTAATTGGGGACATGGCGGGGGGGACAGGGCGGAGGTGGCACTTCCTGGGGACATTCCCAGCTCGGGGACAGTTGGTGGCACTTCCTGGGGACACCCCCGGGCTCGGTGACGTCATTGCCATGGTGACGGGGGGGGACACAAAAAAAATGTCCCAAAATCACCCAAAAGTGCCGGGAAACTGCCCCAAATCGGCCAAGAATGGCCCAAAATCTCCCCAAAACCACCCGAAAATCGCCCCCAAACCACCCCAAAATTGTCCTAAAATCGGTCCTGGGATCACCCCAAAACCGCCCAAAAATGGCCCAAAATCGCCCTAAAAATCGCCCCAAAACCACACCAAAATCGCCCCAAAATTGCCCTAAAATCTCCCCTAAATTGCCCCAAAATTGCCCCAAAACTGCCCGAAAATCGCCCCAAAACCGCCCCAAAACCTCTCCTAAATCGCCCCAAAATCTCCCCAAAACTGCCTCAAAATTCGTCCCTAAATCTCTTCTAAATGTCCCTAAAATTTACCCCAAAATCGCCCCAAAAATTGCCCCAAATCCCTTAAAATTCTCCCCAAAATCTCCCCACATTTGCACAAAAATCTCCCCAAAATTTCCCAAAATCTCTCCTAAATTGCCCCAAAATCGCCCCAAAACCGCCCCAAATCCCTCAAAAATCACCCCAAAATCTCCCAAATTTACACAAAAACCTCCCCAAAATCTCCTAAAAACGGCCCCAAAATCTCCCCAAAATTTTGGGTCCATTAAAGACATTTTTTGGCCATTTAAGGCATTTTGGGGCACATTTAGGACATTTTTGGGGCCATTAAAGCCATTTTTGGGGCCATTAAAGCCATTTTGGGGACATTAAAACCATTTTTGGGTCCATTTAGGACATTTTTGGGGCCATTTCAACCATTTTTTGGGTCCATTAAAGCCATTTTTGGGACATTTAGGGCATTTTGGGTACATTAAAACCATTTTGGATACAGTAAAACCATTTTTGGGCACATTTGGGGTATTTTTGGGTATATTTAGGACATTTTTTGGGTCCATTAAAGCCATTTTGAGACATTTAGGCCATTTTGGGGCACATTTAGGATGTTTTTGGGTATATTTAGGACATTTTTGGGGCTATTTAGGATGTTTTTGGGTCCATTAAAGCAATTATTTTGGGGCCCATTTAGGATGTTTTTGGGTATATTTAGGACATTTTTGGGGCCATTTAAGCATTTTTTGGACATTTAGGACATTTTGGGGCCATTTCATCCATTTTTGGGTCCATTAAAGCCATTTTTTTGGACATTAAAGCCATTTTTGGGATATTTAGGACATTTTGGGGTAAATTTAAGGCATTTTTTTGGACATTAAAGCCATTTTTGGGGACATTAAAGGCATTTTTGGGCACATTCAGGATGTTTTTGGGTGTATTTAGGACATTTTTGGGTCCATTTAAGTAATTTTTTTTTGCATTTCTGACATTTCCGGGCCCATTTCAGCCGTTTTTGGGCCGGTTTTTGGGCCGTTTCAGGTGTTTTCGGCCCCCCCTGTCCGTCTGTCCGTCTGTCCCCTCGGTCACGGCCCTTGACCCCCCCTCCCCT